ACTCGACCATGGTCGAGTTAGTCGTTTTCCGGCGAACTCGACCATGGTCGAATTAGTCGTTTTCCGGCGAACTCGACCATGGTCGAGTTAGTCGTTTTCCGGCGAACTCGACCATGGTCGAGTTAGTCGTTTTCCGGCGAACTCGACCATGGTCGAGTTAGTCGTTTTCCGGCGAACTCGACCATGGTCGAATTAGTCGTTTTCCGGCGAACTCGACCATGGTCGAGTTAGTCGTTTTCCGGCGAACTCGACCATGGTCGAGTTAGTCGTTTTCCGGCGAACTCGACCATGGTCGAGTTAGTCGTTTTCCGGCGAACTCCACCATGGTCGAGTTAGTCGTTTTCCGGCGAACTCGACCATGGTCGAGTTAGTCGTTTTCCGGCGAACTCGACCATGGTCGAATTAGTCGTTTTCCGGCGAACTCGACCATGGTCGAGTTAGTCGTTTTCCGGCGAACTCGACCATGGTCGAGTTAGTCGTTTTCCGGCGAACTCGACCATGGTCGAGTTAGTCGTTTTCCGGCGAACTCGACCATGGTCGAGTTAGTCGTTTTCCGGCTAATTCGACCATGGCACCAACATATTTAACTGAACTGTTTAGTACCTGTCAAAATACTTGCTATACTCTGAGAAGCAACGATCGGAAACTCACTTTACCAAAGCCAAACACTAACTTTCTTAAAAATATAGTTTCTCGTATCGCGGAGCAGTAGCTTGGAATAATCTTCCTCGTGAAATTCTTGACAATTATGAGTCTCTTTCATTGAATTCATTCAAATAGTCAAAGACACGAAATGAAAAACTCCGAACAACCGTGCAAAATTTATTTGTGGCGGAGACATATTGTAGCATTTTGGCTGTTGTCACTTTGTATATAATGCATGAATATATATATTAAGCTTAGGACTTGCATGATTTTGAAATATTTTTAGATTTTTATTGCATGCGTGTGGAGCACGGCCCTTTGAAAAACAGGTCACTGAAAGGCTACCGTGCATAAATATGTTTAAATAATAATAATAATAATAATAGTCGAGTTAGTCGTTTTCCGGCGAACTCGACCATGGTCGAGTTAGTCGTTTTCCGGCGAACTCGACCATGGTCGAATTAGTCGTTTTCCGGCGAACTCGACCATGGTCGAGTTAGTCGTTTTCCCGCGAACTCGACCATGGTCGAGTTAGTCGTTTTCCGGCGAACTCGACCATGGTCGAGTTAGTCGTTTTCCGGCGAACTCGACCATGGTCGAATTAGTCGTTTTCCGGCGAACTCGACCATGGTCGAGTTAGTCGTTTTCCGGCGAACTCGACCATGGTCGAGTTAGTCGTTTTCCGGCGAACTCGACCATGGTCGAGTTAGTCGTTTTCCGGCGAACTCGACCATGGTCGAATTAGTCGTTTTCCGGCGAACTCGACCATGGTCGAGTTAGTCGTTTTCCGGCGAACTCGACCATGGTCGAGTTAGTCGTTTTCCGGCGAACTCGACCATGGTCGAGTTAGTCGTTTTCCGGCGAACTCGACCATGGTCGAGTTAGTCGTTTTCCGGCGAACTCGACCATGGTCGAGTTAGTCGTTTTCCGGCGAACTCGACCATGGTCGAATTAGTCGTTTTCCGGCGAACTCGACCATGGTCGAGTTAGTCGTTTTCCGGCGAACTCGACCATGGTCGAGTTAGTCGTTTTCCGGCGAACTCGACCATGGTCGAGTTAGTCGTTTTCCGGCGAACTCGACCATGGTCGAGTTAGTCGTTTTCCGGCGAACTCGACCGTGGTCGAATTAGTCGTTTTCCGGCGAACTCGACCATGGTCGAGTTAGTCGTTTTCCGGCGAACTCGACCATGGTCGAGTTAGTCGTTTTCCGGCTAATTCGACCATGGTCGAATTAGTCGTTTTCCGGCGAACTCGACCATGGTCGAGTTAGTCGTTTTCCGGCGAACTCGACCATGGTCGAGTTAGTCGTTTTCCGGCGAACTCGACCATGGTCGAGTTAGTCGTTTTCCGGCGAACTCGACCATGGTCGAGTTAGTCGTTTTCCCGCGAACTCGACCATGGTCGAGTTAGTCGTTTTCCGGCGAACTCGACCATGGTCGAGTTAGTCGTTTTCCGGCGAACTCGACCATCGTCGAGTTAGTCGTTTTTTGGCGAACTCGACCATGGTCGAGTTAGTCGTTTTCGGGCGAACTCGACCATGGTCGAGTTAGTCGTTTTCCGGCGAACTCGACCATGGTCGAATTAGTCGTTTTCCGGCGAACTCGACCATGGTCGAGTTAGTCGTTTTCCGGCGAACTCGACCATGGTCGAGTTAGTCGTTTTCCGGCTAATTCGACCATGGTCGAATTAGTCGTTTTCCGGCGAACTCGACCATGGTCGAGTTAGTCGTTTTCCGGCTAATTCGACCATGGTCGAATTAGTCGTTTTCCGGCGAACTCGACCATGGTCGAATTAGTCGTTTTCCGGCGAACTCGACCATGGTCGAGTTAGTCGTTTTCCGGCGAACTCGACCATGGCACCAACATATTTAACTGAACTGTTTAGTACCTGTCAAAATACTTGCTATACTCTGAGAAGCAACGATCGGAAACTCACTTTACCAAAGCCAAACACTAACTTTCTTAAAAATAGTTTCTCGTATCGCGGAGCAGTAGCTTGGAATAATCTTCCTCGTGAAATTCTTGACAATTATGAGTCTCTTTCATTTAATTCATTCAAACAATTAAGTCAAAGGCACGAAATGAAAAACTCCGAACAACCGTGCAAAATTTATTTGTAGCGGAGACATATTGTAGCATTTTGGCTGTTGTCACTTTGTATATAATGCATGATATATATATTAAGCTTAGGACTTGCATTATGTCGAGTTAGTCGTTTTCCGGCGAACTCGACCATGGTCGAGTTAGTCGTTTTCGGGCTAATTCGACCATGGTCGAATATGTCGTTTTCCTGCGAACTCGACCATGGTCGAATTGCAAGCATATTTTGTGGTGATATACAAACAACAATACAACCATGCTTTGGTTATGATATCAAATATTTTAATATTGATAACCACGCAGGTTAAATGGTCTAATTCAGGTGCTATGTAAAGTTTCAAGCATGTTTGGTGCTCATATACAAACTTCTATATAAAGTTGCAACTTGCAAGCATCGAATGCGGCCGGAAAACGGACGAATGTGCCGGAAAACGGTATACTTCACCATGGTGGAATGTGCTGGATAACGGTATACTCGACCAGTGTCAAATATGGCCAGAAAACGATATACTTGACCTTTTTGGTACATTCATGTGATCAATTAGAGTGTTCAACTTTGAACCTTCCTCACAATCCTCATTCAAAGCAAACCTTTCTCCGGGTGGTACCCGTTTACCCGCAGCTTTTTTGCAACTCTGCTTTAAAGAGAAGAATTAGGTAAAATAAAAAACTGAGACAGTCATCAACCTCAAGCACTGACGGTGTAGTAGTGAAGATACTGCCCTCGTAATTGGTAAGGCGACGTTTCGAATCCAGCATTGGTAAAATATTATTCATTATGACTTTTTAAAGAAAATATTTAGTTAAAATAATAAAAGACAGTCATCAACCACAAGCACTGACGTCCTAGTGGCGAAGACAATGGTTTTGCAAGTGGGAGTTGATGGTGAATGGTTCGATGAACGATGGTTCGTGTCATTATATAGGGTACTCGGGTTACCCCCAGGTTACCTGGGTTACCCCCACTGGTTATCTCTGTTTTCTACCCCAGAGCCTTCGTGGCGTCGTAGGGAATCGTGAGCCTGGGGAAAAGGATTGTTGAATGGATTGTTGCAATATTTTCAAGTTCGAAGATATCGAAAATAAACCTTTTTTATGACACTTTGAATGTTCTCCCAGCTTTTTGTGCTAACTGCAAGAGGAGATGCACTCATCTTTCGAGATTGTATCCTTTTTTTTCATGGTGTCATTGGTGTGAAATGGTTGGCCTGTGATACAACTATCTAGCTAAGCTAAGTTTCTTGGCAAATGGCAAAGGTGTTAAATATCCAGTCTAGTATTTCTATTCTGGTATCTACTAGTATCTTTAAAAATGGGACTAAACCACATTATACGTGCCATGGGAATATAGTCAGAACAGGTTATCTGTATCCTCTACCACATTTAATGTTTTACCAAGAATAAGTAAGTTGACAGAAACCAGGTTTAGACAGCACTATTCGTCTATTCCTTGCCACTGACTAATTCATTTAGATAACTCTTAGGAGTCTTAGCTAGGTATATTTAGCATGAGCTCAGAAATTTCTTAGCATTGAGAAAATTAAAAACACAAAGTTTGGGCTATTTTTAAATCAGAGGGCCCCAGGATTTCTGACATAGTATTTATAATATAGAATGCACCCTAGTACAACATGTATTCAACCATAACACTGTTTAAGATCGAGGTGATCTTGAGCAGAAATGCACAGAGATTTCTACAACAACATAAAGACATCAAGAGGCAACCAAGCACCTGTTTTGTAAGTATATATGTAATATGGTTGGGTCAATTTGAGACTTATTATTCATCCAGACCTTGTTTATACCTCAATCTATTCTTGCAGACATTGCAAAGTGCAACCAAATTTTCATTTTATATGTTGTTTGATCAGTTTTAATATTTTCTAGAATATCAATGGTGTGAACTACATATTCGTCCATACAGCTGACCTGTATTTTGTCTTAACAACAAAAAAGAACGTGTCACCAAATTGTGGTCTGGAATTCCTGCAGAGGTACGATTAGTTCAATATACGACCTCGTAAGCTGGTCAGGGTTCAGTATTTAGCTAAAATAGGTAAGCTTTGACTGGGTAACCTTTGGGGACGTAATCAATAAATAGCAAAAGCTGTTCTGATTTTTTTTTTGCTAGGTTCACCTCTATATGCAAAGACTACTGTGGTGTGTTAAATGAAAATTCAATACAACAGAATTTTGTTTTGATTTATGAAATGGATGAAGTTTCTGGTTGGTACATTTAATACAACACTAGCGCAAATGAAGTTAATAAACCATCTTGATCCCAATAGGGTATATTTATGCATATTGAATTTTGAGCATGAGTAAAATTTGATATAATTTCCATTTAGAATTTTGGTTACATCCAAGAGACATATTCCCAAGCTATAAAACCATACGTCCTAAATCAGCCTACAATTGTAGAACCTTATGATAAACCAAGTCAATTTCCTGGAAGAGCTGTGGTATGTAGGTTTCAAAGACTGCTTGCTGTTAGATAGCCTGGATATGGGATCTTGCCTTGGTCTAAACTCCTGTATCTTAACTTAGTTTGGCTTGGAGAAGCTCCGTGTTGGTAGTGATGCTGCAAATAGGCCTGTTGGACACAGTGATAGGTTTTCGGTAAGTTTATCTTCTTGTTTCATTGGGATAAAACTAGACTAAGAATTTGATAACTTGGGTTAATGCTCAGTTTTATGTTCATTTAGACACCAAAGAAAGGTGAAATATTCTCAGACATATTGGAACATCTGTTAGTTCAAGTTGATTCAGAGGTGAACAGATTTGAACCCCCCCCCTGTTCATATAATTTTGATGTAGTATTTGCTGTGCTTGCAGGGGGTAAGGGGGGTACACTGCAGCTTACATAGGCATCAAACATGTCCACCTGCCTAGATTGACCATAGTTTTTATAATTCAAAGGCTGATCCGATTTCCAATGTTTTGTAGGGCAATGTACAGTGTTCAGAACTCATTGGCAGTATTACTTTACGTAGTTTTCTTCCTGAAGGATGTGTTCTTACTATGGCGCTAAGTGATGAACTTTGTAAACTACATGTTGTCAATAGTAATATTCGCAGGCTTTTATTACATTTCCTATTCACAACTATCTCTAGCCCCCTATTCTAGCCCCCACTTACAATTGACCATTTTCCCACCACATTCCATAACTCCACTTATACCATAGTCCCCACTAATCCCCACCCACCACACTCCATATTCCACACTTACCATATCCCCTCCTGCCATAGGCCCCATCTATCACACTTCAATTACCAAAGTCCCCACCCACCACACTTTACCTACCAAAGTTCCTGCCAACCATAGACCCCGTGCACCACAATCCCACTCCCCATAGATCGTGCTCACCATATTCACCACCCACCTGATGGGTCCCACCCGTACTCACGCAGAATATTTTTATAAAGGTTTTGGGCTGCAACTCGAGGATTACAATCTTCATCCTTCTGTAAACAGCGAGGAGTTTGAGTCAAGCGGAAAGCTCTCTGTTATGCCTTTGGTTGGTGAGGTGAGGCCGCGTATGACTTGAAGACACATTAAAACTGGAAGTTAAATAACAAACCGCTTTCTGTGGCATCAACGAGTTCAGCTTGTTCTTCTTCTTTCGTGTAGTTTGCCATGATGAATTATCGCATGTCTGGAACAATTCTGGAAAGAAACCTTCCTTTCACCGTTGAAATGATGTTCGAAGATTCCTGTTCCTCAAAGCAAGTGAAATTTTATCTTGTTTGCAAAAACTATGCACGTATTACAAGCAACCATATAAAATCATTTTTCGGCTGTTCTAGATAGTGTATTTTTACACAAATGTCCTTCATCAAACCTTCTAGTCTGCTACCTAGGAAAGAGTAAAACCATCCTTTAAGGATGTAAATTGGCTCTTTCAAAATGTCTTTCAAAAATGAGTAGTGCTGTCAAGTAAAGTCATCTAGCCTTATACAAAGTAAAATGTCTCAGTACATTGCATACGTTTTTATTTAGATCCATAGATGTTTCCTTGAGAATAAACTGCAATATACCCACGGACAAGTAAGTAAAATGACTAGAAATATTGAAAATTTTCGCGTCTACTTTATTAGTACTTTCATGGCTACGTCTCTTGTTCTTCTTTAAGATATGCGGATAAAGTTCTCGTCCAATTCAACGTCCCAAAAGACACCAGGAGGTACACTTTTCCGAATAAGTATTCATTATTAAATCTCAAGCTGGAGTGAATGACTCAATCATAAAATGCTGATCTTATTTTTCCCTTCAATTCAATAGTGTGTCTTGTTCTGGGCAGACTGTAGAGTTTGTCGAAGATAAAAATATGATAACTTGGCATATTGCACAGTTCCAAGGTGGGACATCAATAAGAGCGTTGTTTAAGGTAATAACCGGAAATCTTTAGCAGAAAGAGCAAAAAGAAGGTTCGCAGATTGTCTATTCATTGCTACCATACTAAAAAATATTGCAGAAATTTATTTGTGTATTTGTCACGTTTTACAGTTAAATGGATCATTTGATGAAGATTTTCAAAGTCGACGCGAGTTAGATGCAATCAAGTAGGTTGATGCCTCGCTATAACAATCGCTTCTTTCTTTCATTGGAATTCGAAATAATTTGTGTGGAAAGTTCGATAGTTAACAATTTTCTTCCATAGCATTCGATTTGAAATTCCTCTCTTTCTCTGCTCTGGAGCGAGAGTGAAATCTTTGAGGATCTCTGGTGGCGCGGCAAAAATTGAACACACCACGAAGTGGGCCAGGCAAATTACGTACAGGTTTGAGTTATTGAGAAATCATACCCAGAACAAAATCGTAATTTGTTGAGATAATTCACATGTTCATTTGCAAAACTAAGACTTTCTGGAAACTAAAACTTTCTGGAAACTAAAACTTTCTGGTCTACTTTCCTGGAAAATAATATGGTGTAAAGAACCTCTGTTATTTTAATTCGCAACGTAATTTCTGCACAGTGTGTTTTGAGTCGGTGAGAAACTCGATTTCATTCTTTCAATTTCCTTTACTTATAACACGGCTCTGTAGCTAAAATTTTGTTGCACATTAATCAAAAGTTTGCCCCTAATTCCAACAGCTCTTTTATCCAGGTTTTCAATGTGCTTTTGTAGTGATTCGTACGTTATACGAGTGTGATAAGTTATGGCAACCCCGAGAAATCAAGAAAATAAATGTGGATGGTAGTAGCATCGTGTGTAAATTCTATTCCTCCAACGCGTGTGTCTGGCTCTGCGATGTAGAATGACCGTCAGAGAATGACCGTCAAAGTCATCAACAGCGCCATTTTTAAAAAGATAACACATTATAAAGAAAAAGTGGTCAATATGGACAACTTCATTACCGACCGAAAAGTAGAAATAGCCGGAAAATATATATACATTTAGTATGAAATGTTTTTTTGCTCAAAATGAGCGTTTTAGCATTTCTCTGTCACAAATGCAACGACTGTAATAAAATTCAGGTTGTTAACATCGATGTTTTGAGAAAAAAAAAGAAAAAGCGTTTTCAGACGCTTTTACCTCATCTGTAGTTTGTTTATCTTATATGAAGTGTTGCAGCAGACGGCTGACGGAGTGAAATGAGCCGGAAATTTTAAAGTGGAGCAAATCCTTTATTTTGAAAAAAAAATCGATGAAAAAGCCTAATTTACGCAGGTATTTTTCCAGTATTTCTTCATAGTTCCACTCAGAATAAAACGGAGGAGAATTAATTTAACTTCTTGTATAAAAATGTATATTCCACGGGACGCTTTTGAGCTCAAGCCTCAAGGAATTCGATGATGATGTCATGAATATTCAAGGTGTAAAAAAGGTCTTTCATGGATTTACGCAGGTATAAGCTAATAAGATTGATTTTTTATTGTTTAAAATTAGTTTATGTATGCATGTGTGGTCTAAGAATTATAGGAAGAATGTGTAGTTCATAGTCTTATCATTTTGAAGGAGGGTTGCTTACCAGTAATTTAGCCTGGTCATAATAACCATCTTATACACCGAATTGAAATGGGCAAAGCAATAAGGGTCTGTTACCAAGCTGGTTATATTTTATGAACTCCAGTCAAAATATATGAGAATACAAATGGCCATCAACCTAAGATGACATTTAAATACCACAATAAATTCAGAGTTGTTACAAGGTTTGCAATAAATGCCTCCCTCGAATAAACGCCGCATCTTAAGTGCTTCTTCCATATTCTCTGTAGATTTAAATTAAGTGTAGGATCTTATCTGACTATGAAAATGAAGACATTACATATAAGCCAGTTACTACATGTGCTAAATAATTAAACTATTTCAAGAAGAAATTGTGTTAATTTAAGAATGCATATGGTAATCAAAAGACAAAAGGATAGTTTTACAGTGATTAAATGAATAATAAATAAGTTAGTTCTCTCATCTTAACAACACTTTGTACATCCTTTATTTTCCTTTGATTTCTGTGACCAGATCAGTACTTTTATCAATGATATCCTGCGGTGTTGCTGTGGCGATATTCACGTCTACGAGTATCACTCCATCCACTATAGGATCTTTAAAACAAAACTCGATGATCCTGTCTTTACGGTCAATGCCTTCTTTCAATGCTTGAACATTGCATTTTGTCAGAAAAAGTACATGTAACCAGAGGTTGCTCTGTCTTTCATCCATGCTACAAGATCTTCACTTGGATCTGAAACATTCCAGTCTTTCTTCTCTACAATCTTCAGGCTGCCTGGTGGTTCGTAGTCATGCATTGCTTTACGAAAGTTGTTCATATTTGTTGTCGTTCCGCTGTGTAGAACCCCTAAACAAATTTTGTCCTTCTTTGCTTCAGGTCTGTCTTCCTTAGAGGATTTACAACCCATGGCTAGTAAAAATTGCAATGGTAAATTTCCTAATAAAATAATAAGCACCACACTAAAGTGCTCTTACTTTAGTTCATCAATTTTAATAATCTTTTACATTAAACAATGCTACATTTTTCTGCACCAGTTTGGAAGGGTATGCTCACTACCCAGCACTATCTACCAGTGTTCTTGGTTAAGTATAAACTAACTTTTAGTTTCACCCATCTCATGTTGTCATTCAGACAGATGTACTACTCGGATATTACAGTAGACCAATAATTTGAAGATGAGTGGAAGAGTTCTGATGGTTTGTCATATATTGTTAATCAACATTATAGCTACTTAACCCTGATGGGCAACAATACCCCAGCCACAATTAATGCAGTGATGTCAGTTTTCACTCTCCTGTAGAGTGTCATAAGACAGATTTTGGGTTTTATCTTACTGGGGAATTATGGAAAGGAATGAGACTTATCATAAAATGCTAATCCATTCAGAGCCAGTAGTGTTTAGTTATACTTATAGATAAAATTTCCAGAGATCAATGTGTAACCGTGTTTATGCTTTATAGTACCCATGCAGTCATCCGTGACTGGCGCACGCGAGATGTCGCGAATAATATAAGGTCGACACAGAACGGACGCGATGCGTCAAAGCGACGGAAATTTTCACGTTTCAGAAGCATATGAATTAAATTCTGGAAGCAAAATTTAGAATCTATGGACGCCAGAGCAGTCAAAATGTATAATTGTTACGTAATCTATAAGAATATTATGATAAGTTAAAATTTATTTGCTTTTGGAAAATAAAAAACTTGTCGCGTCCTGTCTGTGTGGGCCTTTACTCCTTAAATAATTCGCGCCGTTTTCACGTTTGGAACGAAAACTTAGGATATCAGGCTATAAAACTATTCACCTTACTAATCGCCTATAATGTTTAAGCGTGTGTTTCCTTGTCTAATGCCAGATGGTTTTAATCAGAAGAACGTGTTGGAACGTGCCTTTATTAACATAATCAAAGTGAAACTGCAATTCTATGATGTCTGCATAGTTCAAATGAATCAAATCCATTGAACCATCCAATTCCTTTTAGCATATCGTTGTGTTAACAAAATTCCCACGAGATTCAAATTGTTACCTATTACCATACCACCGTGTTGGACAACCGTTTAGCCGCACTTTTCTCTTAAAGAATCCTTTCAATGATAGTCTGTAGTTTACATTTAAATTACCTCTTTTGTTTTTGACACTTTTTATTCGTAGTGTCAAAGGCTATATATTACGTATATACGTCAGTTTTGTCACATTACCATACAACTTAGAAATCTGTCGTTTACTGAGACTGACAGATGTATGTTATAACATCGTGTGTTACTTTGAAACACATCATTTAATGCTTGAAAACGTCTTCCAACCAGAAATTTCCCTTCCATGTTAATATTCGAAAGTGTCGTGCAGTGCAACGGCAATATATGTGATAGAATTCGATTAGAATCCAATCCTACCTTTTCTTCTTTACTTTCTGCTCTTCCAACAAGAGGGAACTTTTGGGAGTTACGCTTTTGTGGACCAACGTACGACTCAATTTAGGACAGTTTTAGTCCTTGACAATAGAAATATTTGAGGCTGTGTTTAATCTCGACAAAGATAATAATGCGCTGGGCAGGGTTAACAAGAACGACGCAATACTCAGATGACGTCATCATTTGAGCCCGCGAAATCTGTTTTCGAAACAAACGTTTCTCGGATCTTGGTTGCGATCCTTCGTCAGATTCTTGGAACGAGAACACTCACCTTTTGCGATGGTTCAGTTTAGAAACGATATTTTTCTGCAAAAACAACTATTGTGTGGTACATCTTCTTCATATAAACACAGGAATCGATACGATGTCCCAGATGGATTTCCTGAATATACAAAGAGATATATACATATTAGTGTTCTTTTCATAACTATTATAGTTTAGAGTAAAGTCGAGAAAACAGCAGTTTATGAAAGAACCTTTACCTGCATTTAGTACTTTCCTTTATGACTGACACCAAGATGTTTGCAACATACAGGAAGAACTAAAATGGGGCGAACGAGATTACGAACTTTACCGAATGTTACAACAGAATATTGTGTATAACAGAATGGACAGACGTGGGTATATATTCGTTAATATAAGAATATTCCATCTAATCCTATATTGCTCCATTTAGAGAGGGTCGCTGTATGATCATTCCTCCAAAAATACAAGAACCAATTCAGAATCATAAGAAGAAGCTACTGATTAAAGATCATCGCGAGGTATTTGTTATGTACGTTTCAATCTCTTGCTACAATGTTTCACCTTTCTTCCCTTTTTCTGTAGAAACACATCCAAAACGCGACCCTCGACACGACGGGAAATAATCTCCAGCGATAATGCAGCGGATATTATGTTCTATCAAACTTCATTCTAATTCTTGATCGCAAAGAATCAGCATTACTTCTTCTGTATGTATAATAGTTTTTAGCTATAATATCAAAGGCCGTCTTGCTATTCCATTGCCATAGATTTTCAAAGTTATTCTCTTTGTAACTCTTTGTAAAACTGCAGTAACCTAGCAAGCGTAATTATAATACTCGAATCTGTTGTCTTTTTAGGCATTGGCGCCATATGTGCCAGACTCGATGAATATACGACATAATGATTGATTAGAACTCGTGCCGTTTGAAGTGCACGTCTATTGTGATGAAAATGAAGACGCAATGACTTTTTATCCCCGTTGTAAGCTTATCAAGTGGAATACAATCGATTCTGAACACTTTGTTCCCACGAGTAAGGGATTCGTTATTTTCACCACAGGGAAGTTCCGTCGTCTAAAATTCACTGGTGACCCGGCTGTGAGGCCGCTACGTTGGAATGATAAACGGTTTTCGGATAATTTTCAGTTCTGACCATTGCGCATTACTTCAGTACAAGATGTTAAATAAATTAAATTCCATCTTTGGCTTCTTTATTGAAGATTATAACAACGTTAAATATGAACTAATTAAACCGATCACATGCGCCAGAAGCCTGGACCCTGTTTGATGGATGTATCAGAACTTCTTAACATCAGCAAATTCCGTCAGAGATTCAGGATATCAAGTGTGAACGTAAATAGCCACTGGCTGGTTACCTGAAAGGTGTCATTGGCAGTGATAGTTAGATCTCTATCTCTTCTCTTTTTCTTCGCAGAAAAGCTTTTCTACACCGTTCTGGAGAAGAAACCAGAATTCCAGAATTCTACGAAAAATGTAGTGGAATAGCGAAGGTCCTTGATCTTTTTGTATTTCCTTGGTGCAAGTACGAACGTTTATAGAAATGCATTTTGCAAAGTAAAATATAGGGCGTTGGAGGTGTGCTGACAGTTCTCCCTTCTTCCGCGACATTTATATGCCACTTACCGTAATATGACCATATACCATACCTACACATGTTCGTGAAGCGTGCCTATTTGTCTGTGTTTTGGGGATGACCACGGTCAAGGAAGGGTCTACCATTTTTGGTTAATTTTATGTTCTATATGAATTCAAATCATTCAACCAACAAATACTATCATCTGAACTCCGACTTCTAACTGGCAGAAATGGACCTTCGGTAAATGTTATATGACTGTTATGTGAGCCTATGAATATATACGTTGTTCAAGCATTTGTTATTAAACATTTTTATGGTCTTTGCACTGTTGCACACGAATATGCCCATGATATTTTACGATCCCAATGGCCGAACCATCAGAGCACTAGATTTGTGGTTATTGGTGGAACTGTTAGAGTACTGGTTGATGGTATTGACAGATCAGTTAGAGAGCTAATTTCACTATTATTGGGAGATCAGCCAGAAAACTGTTCACGGTTATTAGAAGATCAGTTAGAAGCAGATTCATTATTGCCGTGTTGAGAGATTGGAAAACTGAATAATTGGTATATCAGTCAGAACCATATTCATGGTTATTGCCGTAGATATTGGCAGATCAGTCATCACTGGATTCATAGTTATTGGCAGATCAGTCAGAGCTAAGTTTATAATCATTAGAAGATCAGTCATCACTGGATTCATGTTATGGGTACAGTAGATCATTCTTGAGGACTCAGAAGTACTGAGAACCGAGGAGTTATTTTTACATAACTTCACACTATGTTCATTGTTATTGGAGAGATATATCACATATCAGAGCACTGTTGATTGGTACTCCCGTTTTTGGAAACTTTCCAGTCGTTCACCAAATCATTGCAAATCATCTCGATTGTTCGAGCATTTTCGGTCGGACATTCCCTTGGGTCCCCTATGGCTCGATCAGATTTGGAAGAGACGAGCCACACCCTGTATAGTAAACGTATTTTGTGGTGCAAGTATTTATATTTTATCATGTCCGTTTCAAAAATACCACACAAGTTAATTTCACCCGAAGAAAGAGAAATGACAGAAAAGCCAAAAGCTTCGAGCACTGCAGCAGATGAAGATGTCGAGGAAGAAAAATTTGATAAAAATTTCTGGGTTGAGGTATCGATTATTCTGTTGTATTTATATATTAAATGCTAACATTCTTTTTATGATCTGAATTTCCGATCTAGTTTTACTTCCAAAAGACGTTTTACGGTTTTAGTGGAGCTATGCGCGAATTTAGTCGTATTTCAGTCTCGATCTCTCTAAATTACTGAGTCAGAAGCTCAGATATAAATTTTGCTTGGCAGCTAGCTAAAGTATTTTTAATTTTTATTCTTTATTTTAATTTTTATTCTTTATTTCACACATTAATCCCCTTTGATGTAATGGCCGTATCATAATAACAACCAAACGCAATTTAACACATCCATAAGATAAAACTCTCCTACCTGACTCAACTGATTGGATTACCTAAAATCTTATGAATATCTTGTTACTACTATAAAAAGATCATTCATGAGATATGCTTGAAGAATGATGAATAAAAATTATGTCCAGGCCCATCCCTTGACGCTTAATTGTGAGGGTGTTGTGTTCATACTCGCATACTGTAAAACCAATTGTTTCAAAAGAAATCAGTCGGGTATAAGGTCAAGTATATGATGCACATGCTACCCCCCCCCCCCAATTATTGATGAACCAAATAGCCCTGGTATGATGGCCTTGGTGAGGAGCCTATGTCTATAAGAAATCTTGGGATTGCATACATGTATCAACCTTGCATGTTAAACACTTACCAAGCCCCCTGCTATGCCAAGGTCAAATAATTTTAGAGTATTTTAAAAATTCCTGCATATGTTATAATAAGAATTGGCAAATGTGGCATTTATACCGATTTTCAAAACATTTTAAATAAGTTAATTAAAGTTAAAATACTAAACAGTCAATCATATATTGTTCCAATGTCATCCTATATATCTCTCATCTATCTTAACTATAATAATCAACTTGGGACATACTATAAAGTAGATTTAGTTTGAATGGTGAACAGGTCAAGAATATTGATCACATTTATTCTTTCCTAGCACAACCAGACATAATTAGCTCAACATAAATGTATTGCTTTACTCCAAGTTTAGTCCATCCAATTTAAACACTGCTGTCATTCGCAGAATCTGTGGAAACATTTTATAAATTTTAGCATACCCATTGCTTTAAACTAAATTAGCTTGCTTCAAATGGCTTCGGTAATATGCTTGCAAAGTAATAAAGCCATGGCTGTCTTGACCTTGAGGGTGGATATAAAAATAAAGTTCTTCAGGAATTTGACAAAATGACAAATGACTCTTAGGTTGAAAAAAAAGTGAAGAAAGGCATATCATGGAATAAGGCAATGGATGAAGTCAGGGCAGAAAGACTGATGACAAAATATGGTAACCAAGCTCTGGTGGTTCTTATTCGCAAGTGGCCGAAGATGAAAAAGTTTAAACAGAAACCGAAAGCAAACCAAAAGAAACCGAAAAAAACCCAAAAGCTGATAACAAGCTTAGAGTATTTGGTATGATGAGAGATTCTGTCAATAACATTTCTCAAACAAGACCATCCCTAGATCTATATTCTTAGCCTTAGGGCTAACTGAGGGCCTTTTGCTCACATACCTAATAAACTTAATGAATCTAGTGTATGGTACATCCCTGCTGGTGACTCCCCTTTTGAAGGCATGAAACCCTTATAGATCAGCCGACTGACGGAAATAATTCTGGACAAAGACAAGGACACGGATTATGCTGGTTTTCGTTTTGAAGAACCAGAAAAGCCGCCAAAAACCCTGCTGCATCTTGCAGCGGAGCAGAATTTTCTTCACGTTTCAAGATGTCTGGTCGATCGTTTTCCAACTCTGCTGCACGCGACCACAGACGATGATGAATGGGACAAGGCTGTCATGCCCGTTGAATTAGCTTTAGAAAAGCGTAATGATGACACTGCAGCTTATCTCATTTCTCAAATGTTGGCTAATCGGTGAGTGATACGTGATTTAGCCTGATGAAGACAATTTTCCACTGAATTTAGGTCCTCTTCACCTTTGCACGCAAAAAGGCCGAAGAGTACTTTGTTTTTTCATGTTCTGGTAATATTCAAAATAATTTCGGATAAACATTTCATTAAAGTCCTGAGGGAGCCTCAGTTACGACCAGTCTGGGGTCTGCGGAAGCGTGTAACACTGAGGAAACAGGGCAAATGTTGGGTAGATCTCTGTATCTAAGAGAATTGGCTATGTCAAAAACTTTTGGATTTGGGGCCATAAACCGCTACTGATATGAATACTGGTGAACATTTGTTGGATGATTTCATGATTAATACTTGCCTTACAAGCATTAAGATATCCTCAAACCAAAGATATAGCTACATATACCAAAGGTATAAAAGATGTAGCTACTCAATTTTTTTTATCTTATGTGTAGCGTCACGGAACTCTTTCTGTATGACGACATTGGAGAATCAGTGAAATTTTATTTTGGTGATATTATTAGTTATCGTGATCCAGAGACAAATGAATATGGAATGAAGGTACACCATGGCATGAAACTCCCCACGTCAGTAGAATCGTTGCATGTGCAAGGTCTGTACAATTTTGCTTTTGGCGGGGCAGTCCTCCGTTTAAACGTCGTCCATTTCTGAGAGCGTGGTACATGATGGCTTTTGCTATAGGCTCACTAGCCATGATACTTCTGTATGAAAGTCATTTCTGCAATGGTAATCCCGTATCAGCCAAGTTAAGCTGTAGGTTGTAAAGGTTGTCCAAAACCGCAAGTAAGAATAACTAGCGCCCGCTCGCAATCTCTGTGATCAGTGCCATAGTCATAATTCTGTCTAATTTAGTTATTTTTTGATAACAGAAAACGGTCGTGGCTGTATTGAACAAATTGATTAACCCTTACTGGCCGTACCAGCCTGACCGCGCACTGGTCGATGAAGACAATGTTGAAATCCAGCGAGCCTTGGACAGTGTTCCAGACGATCCAATGAATTATGACTTTCACTATCACATCCTAGAAACTGACGAAAATGGAAGGACACCCAAATATGAAGACTCTGAAGATGTTGATCCATTGTTTAATCATAGATCAATGTCTTGTCTCGAACGCATTGCTGACAGCGAGAATAAGGTATTGAACATCTGACTGGACTGAACTGGGTTTGTGTGGACGTAACTGGATTGAATTCCACTGATTTTGACCAGACTGAACTGACTGGTTGAATTGTACTAGACTGAACTCGACTCTGGACTCGATTGAACTGGACAGAACTGGACGGAACTGTACTTGGCTGGATTGAATTGCACTTAACTGTAATAGGCTGTATTGATGAAATGAACTGTACTGTACTGAACTGAATTGGACTCAACTACACTGAACTGTTCTCTTTTTGACCGAATTGGACAGGACTGAATTGGTATAAATCGTATTATAGGTGAAAGTTATACCAAAATAGAGTGGATATGTGCGAATAGACGCATTGATATTATTAATAATTGATAGGAAGCTGTGAAACACCCAGTCGTTCGCATGTTGGTCCTAAGTAAATGGAATGAATTTGCCTTCAATTGGTTTTGGTGAGAACAACATCGAGTTCTAATCTAACCTTATTTATCTTGACGACTTCCCGAGAAATAATATGATTTCAACAACAATGTCTTGACAATTTCTTTTAGTTTCAAGGCTGTTCTTTATCTCATATTTTTGGCGGTATTATCATATGCGCTCATGTTTGGCTCCACTCGTGACGATCCAACTCAATACGACGGCCCGGCTGATAATTTTCGAGCAGTTTGTGAAATGGCCAGTATCATCTTTCTCATTGTACACCTGCTTGATGAATTTGGTGAAATATTAAGGTATTTATCGATGGAGATAAAACGGATAAATGAAGATTTATCCGCAGAACTATCCACAAAAATTAAAGCGGTTGCTACCAGTCCATACCACTGGTTTTATCCTACCATAACATCATCTGGTTTTGGAGTAGTATCAACTGGGGTTATTTAGGGTGGGATAGGGTGGAAGTAGAGCAAGTGGGTGCAATATGTCTTGATAATGTATACTAAGATTGCGAAAAGGTTGCTTTAGGTTAGGGTAGGGTTGGATGGGTTAGATTGGGGTGGGTTAGGGTGAGATTTGGCTGAGTTAATTATGTTAAGGTAGGGTTGGGTAGTGTAGATGATTAATACCGACCGACCTACTATTAATTGTTAAATCATATTATCAATAAATTATATCCCAGTTTAACCACGTTGTTTTGCAGAGAAAAAATAAGCTACTTCGAAGTTTGGCACAACTACCTGGACTTACTTGGTATTATCCTCACCCTGGTCGTCCTTCCTCTTCGCTATGCCGAGGTTAAAGCACAGTGGAGCTTCGCTGCTCTTGGTTTGTTATTCAATTTTCTACGTCTCTTTAAATTCTCTCACGTCTCAAGGTAAGTAAGATTTCTTAAGTTACCTTCACGTACAAAGGATTTATTAAGGATAATTTTCAGCGGTTGATGATTTCGCAATTATTATTAACTTGTAGAGTCACAGGTCTTTACACCACAACGCTGGTGAAAATAATTCAGAAAGACATTCCTCGGTTTTTGTTGTTCTTTTCCGTGGTATTCATTGGATTTTGCGGAGCAATGTATTTGGCTTTGAAAGTGAACGACAAGCAAGACTCGTTCGGGTAGTTAATGTCAATTTTTTTTGTTTTTTGTTTGTAATTTTAGTGTATTTTAGGTTCGTCTGTTGCTCTTTTTTGTTCTGTTGTATGCCTATCATAATATATTTTATTATTCAGTGGTTTCGCTTGGCTGATGTTGGCTGGTTTCAGAGCTCTTGCAGAACAACAATCGTTAGAAGACGACTACCAAAAGTTTAGGTAACATCTTTCATAGACACCGTGAATGTCTAAATCACTTCTATTCGATATTTTATGCCACTTGATCTATAATTTATCAGTCCTTTTCAAAGAGCTCAATGACCAGTGATCGGTCAGGTTCACGCTGTTATCGTTTGTAAGTGATATTCTTTTTTCTCTGTTTTCCAGTTGGTTGCCAATTATTATTCTTCTCGCATACATGATGGTCGTAATTGTAATCTTACTAAACATCCTCATCGCTCAACTCAGCTACACTTACGATGAAGCAAAGAAAATCGCCAAACTGCAATACGCTGCTGATATAATGAGGATTGTCTCCCGGGTCGAATACAGCCCAATTCGATATTTTGTAAGCGAAACGCAATACTTCATAGGGACGTTAAACAGAGTGCTTTCTGTTAGAGCAACGAAAACTATTCTCGTGTACCTATATTACTCACGTATAATAGTTTATTCTCTCCTTCATTGAAGAGTTTAAGAATACGAAATTTCATATATGCTGACTGGATCAACGACGAGGAATTGGCCAAAGGTACGTCTTTCATGATACACTTTGGTTAGGAATTCTTGAGCATACTCGGTCAATAATTCTAAGTGTCATACGGTAGGGAATTAATAGCTTTTATTATATATAGTGTATTGTGAAATATAATACTTGTTTTTTCTGTAGAAATGTTGGAGTACACGGATGATAGACACCCTTGGGAGACGGTTGGGGAGAGATTATCTGACGTTAGGTAATAAGTATTGTTAGGACTAGGAAAAGCCTCTGATCTTAAAGAAAGACTGGGTTTAGCTGCGTAAATAAATGACGCCACTGGCTATGTTTGCATCATCCAAGAATATCTACTGCGCACCCAATCAGAATGACGTCTTTTTATTGCAAAACCACATTAATCTCTCCTAAAACATTCACCTTAAATGTTATCTTCAGGGAAATTATGGGGAAACTTGTAAGAAAAGGCAAAGAAAAGGATCCCTTGGAAACTATTGATGACAAAGTAACTCATCTCACGTAAGTAAATGTTATTTTTGATTGAAAAGCTAAGAAAAATCATTTAGGTTTCTTCCTGTGTCAATAAAAGAAGAAAACACTGGATCAATAAGAGACGATCTTACTAGTTTAAAAGTGATGGAGCTATCTGCCATAAATAGAGTTAGTTTAGTTTAGGTTTCCTCCTGTAGTAACACTGGATCAATAAGAGATGATCCTTACTGGGCCTCTAAGAAGAACAGTATAGAACTATCTGATAGAGCTATATCCAGTTTAAATAAAGTTAGTTTAGTTTAGGCTTCCTCCTGTGTAGTAACACTGGATCAATAAGAGATTAAAGATTCTATTTTTAAATCTTCACTATAAGATATTCTTTATCTTCAGGGAAATTATGAAGAAACCAGAGGAGGAAAGCACCGAAGAAGATCCTTTAAAATCTATTGATGAAAAAATAACTCGTCTTACGTAAGTAAATACAACTGATGCATTTCATTATGCGTGTTTAATTTTGGCACGGGTTTAGGTTTTCCGTTGTGGTATTTGATGGTCCTCAAGGGACATCTTAATATTGATTTCACATTTTTTCAGGGAGATTTTGGAAAAGTTTCCAGAAGCTATGAAATAACACACATTCTGAGCTAGCTTCCTGTGCAAGCTGACGAGGAAAAGTTTCACTTTTTTATGTTCTATATTATTTCATAAATAATTATGATTCGTGTTCAACACGCATACGCTAAACTTATAACAGTAAGGGCATGCCCTACATATATTTATTTTGAAAGAGTCTCAACGTGATGACCTGATCGATGTTGTAAACTACCAGAAAGCTATCAAGTATTTCAGTTAATAGGCTGGAAGAGCCCTGCATAATACCGGTAGTAGACAACAGTCATTTCATGCTTTCAATGCGGTTCTCTTGTGCTCAGCCTCTTCTGCCGATGTCTGGTGGAGAGGTTTACGATAGAATACTAAAGGTCCTTCGCATTTGCAATATTCATTTTTGTATTAAAATAGCTACAGTCTTGTTAAACTTGTGTTGTTTCTGTTTTTCAAATTTCAAGAACAAGTGCCTTCAGACAATCCAAGATTTTAAGGTCCACTAGGTTACCGGCGAAGATTCAGACGAGATGAACACTTTATAGAAAGAGATAAAGGGGAGCAGGTCAGAGACACGAAAGAAGGTCCTGCCTTTAAATTTTTATCTGTTCAGGCTCTCAGCTCTGTTTAGATAAAATAAACAGGAAACAGGTTTTCCACAGAATCTTTGTGCCAACGTATTCGTTCGTATTCGTAACTGTGTGCGTGTTATGTAATTTTATATGAAGTACGCCTACAAACAGCTGACTCTTGGCATAATGAGCCGCGCAATTTCGCTTGATGGCTACCAGGGGAAGTTAAAAAGAAATTATTTTGAAAGAAAAAGTGTTCATTTACGCCGATATTTTTTATCATGCTCCAATATTTCTCTATGGATTTACTTTTAATGTAAAATGTGTATTTTGTGATACAATTTTTAATGTAAAATGTGTATTTAAAGGAATGGAATTTTGTGAAAGAATTTGACAGAGACATGTTTATAGTCGAAATAGGAAAGAAGCTTTTCCATTCTAATCCACAGGTTAGTTCGGCTTTTGTAACTTGATAATGTTGATTTCCAATTGCTAAGCCTATTTAGCATGTGGAGTTAAGGAGAAGGGTTGTTTAGACAGTTTAGTGTTTACTATGTGCCCAAGGCAACAAATCTTTCGTTGTCTCTTGCATATGGTAAATTTGTAACCAAAGTGTGGCATCCTAAGTGACTATGACAAATAAAGTGGCTGGATGTTGACAAACTAACACATGATACCACCAAACCAATCCTACAGACAACTGCATTAATGATAAGTACTTGTAATATATTAAGGAAAAGTTTTACAAACTGTATGTTCTACAATGTAGGTTTGTAAATATGTGTTACATGTGCAATTACGACTATGAATATAAATAATGAATAAATTAAGTTAATTTCGACACCACAAACTGTCTCATTAAACTGTCTGATGACTATGGCAAATAAAGTTGCTGGATGTTTACAAATTGGCACATAATACCACCAAACCAATTCAACAGACAACTGCATAAATGATAAGTGCATGTAATTAAGGAAAAGTTTCACAAATATGTTCTACAATGTAGGTTTGTAACTATGTGTTACATGTGCAATTACGACTATGAATATAAATAATGAATGAATGAAGTTAATTTTGACTCCACAAACTGTCTGATAAACACCTGCAATAAAATTTCAAAGTGTGAGTATGCTAAGTCACAATGTGCACAAATATAAGATTGCATTATTTATTTACTTCTAAGCTAAGGTCTAAATTACAACTACCTTTTATGTTTATCAGTTCCAGACATGTCATTATCAAAGTTCTCTGATTTTTGCAGCAAGGCGATCCATGTTGGCGATAAAATCTTTACGTGATGCGGTGTCAAAATCTACATCTACCATGGTTGGATGAAGGCCATTCACTGGAGGATTCCGAAAGCAGAACTCAATGATCCTGTCATTCCCGTTGATATGTGCATTTAATTCTTGATCATTGTGATCCGCTAACAAGCAAAGAAGGACAATACCATTCCGACGCACCCAGTCTGACGTCCACTGTTTAATTTCATCCCTTGAGTACTGGGAAAGAGGGACTTTATAATACCTGTTATCAACAACATCCCCCAAACTGCCTGGCGGTGGCTTTGTTTCAACTGCGTTGCGAAAGGTTTTCATGTTTGGCGAAAAATACCGATCATGTATGACCACCAGACGTATTCCATCAACTGTCCTTCCATCAACATTGTCACTCTTAGACCAAAACATACCCATTGCTGGTTAAAAGAAAGCATTAGCTTATCAAAAGATACCTTGGTTATCAAGACTGCAAAGGTAGTGTTTTAATTGAACAATTTTGCTAATCTTGCCCTGCATTAAACAGTAGCTTGTTCTGCAGTATGCTAGGTACCTTCCATTTAAATTACATGCAACACTGAAGTTACCAGCCCTGGGTGCTCACCAAATTACCTCTAAGAATCAGAAATTCCATTCAGAAATACAATCTTGCACCAATTAACTGGTGGTAATGCTCTAGGTACACCTACTCCAGGACTTCACTTCTATCATATTGGGAACGTTTTGTTTGGGTATTTGATGGAAAGACCAGATTAATTTGGCTGCATTGCATATTAGGTTGACTGCTGGTTTACTAGACCCTTGTCACAACCATGTTTATATAGCCAGCTACAGTATGCAGTAACGTAAGTCTCGCCCACACGAGGTCTCGTGATTATTATGACACTTACATACTAGTTTTCCGTTTCAAACAAAACTTTACCAGAATATTAAAACGTGAAAAGAACTAAAACAACACGCTAACAAGTACATGTAGAACACGCGATTCTGTAAAACCAAAAGTTTTTCACCTATATCGTTGTCATGAATTCTTTAGCGCAAAAATTTGTGCTAACATTTGTATCGATTTTACACTGCGTCATCACAAAGGAATTCTCGTTCGAACTCGGTTAAAACTTACAGGGAGGTAGTTTGGATCACGAAATTGCCTTAAAAGATGGAAACATACGTTCTCTAATTGCTTCATCGCGTTCTTTGTCTAATGTCAGATGATTTCAAATCGAAAGGGTGCATGTTGGGAACTTATGCTAATTAAGACGTGTCGTTATTAAAAAAAGCTAAAGTGAAACTACAAGAGACTGATATAGTCGTATGCTTCATATCTGTCCAGATATACCCTATTGTTTTGTTTATCAGAGTATCCTGATAGCACAATGCCCTTAAGGATCGAATTGTTACCAAACCATTGATTAACATTACTATGATAAATTTTTCAGCGCGCTTCTCTTTCAAAGAGTTGTTGCGACCATTTCACAATAGTCATTGCAGCAGTTTTTTAAATTTCCATTACGTGTTCTTAGCCGTCTGTCCCCCCGCAAAATTGTTACAATACCATTCAACTAGTTAAACAACTGTCATTGAAGGTGATTGTATAACGCTAGATGTGTTGCATTGTACAATGGATCGGGCAATTCTCTAAGAACTTTCACACCCGAAAATTTGCTTACATGTTGATATTTCAAGGCGTTAAACGGTGGTAATATAGGTGATAAATTAGTTAAATTCTAATCCTACCTCTTCTCTATACTCTTTAAACGACTCAAAACGCTTGTTTTACTCTTCTTGGCGAGATATAATGAATGCTAGCGACAGCTTTATTCCTTGGCAGTTGAGGTATTTGGCGTCTGTGTTTGGCGTCCTTCAAAGATAATCACTGACTCGTTTACAGGAACCCAATCTACGTTGACGTAATAGTTATGAGCCCGCGTTATCTGTTCTCGAAATTATTGTTCTAGGATCTAAATTTCTCCCTAGCGTCGGAACCTTGCTATCCTTAGATCCTTCCCTTTTGCGACGATACAGTTCGGAAATAAAAGTTTTGGTTTTCGTGTTCATGGTACTGAATTACCATGCAACAATATGGTCAAGTCAATGAACGGTTTCTCTTTGAAGTATCAATAATGTTCCCAATATTTATTAAGGATATGCGATGCTCTTGATGTGAAAATCATATCCCAGCATGAAGTTCCGTGTAAGTTCACGAGAAAGCAATCGTTCTCCTCTCGTTTGTCTCGTTGAAACAACAGCATCTTGTTGCCATGCAAAGCGAACTAGTTAGAAAGCGCATGAATATATACACAAAATATAAGACTACTGTTGGTAAGATATTGCTAAAGAATAAGGGACGTGGGAATATATTGAATAAAAGAAGTACCTTCCAGCTGATCCAATATTGTTCCATTAACAAAGAGATGAAGCTTTTGTATCATCATCATGAGAGCATCTGCTAAGAGCCATTGCAGTTCAGATAAAAACCCACCAACTTGGAAATCACTACGAGATATGGAGTATATGTGAATTTATGATCGCTTCCGTCGTTTCGTTTTCATGTTTTGCATGAATGCACAAGTGAAAACGCAACAGTCTGGGCACAGATGAATGTAATTACCAAAATCCAAACGATGGTCAAGTTTCACCAAACTTTATTTCAACAATTGAGCATGAAGAACCAGCGTTGCTTGTGCTATCATGTTAGGTATAATATCAGAGGTCGTCTTCCTATGCCATTGCTATAGCATTCCTAACCTAATCTCTTTGTAAAATTGCAGTAACCTAGCAGAAGATAATTATGATACTCGATATAGTGATCTATTTTACCATATTAACGAGGGTCGATGAATATTCGAAGTGTTTACATTGTAACGAAAAGAAAGAATCAATATGCGTACACCATTGTAAAAGATTGCACGTTTTTCGCATAGATTTTCCTACTTGTTCATCCACTTCTACCTAGTTCATTCCTAACTTCATTATCAATTAGAATACAACCGTTTCTAACTATTTTGTCTCATTAAAGGATTCTTTGATTCATCGAAGTTCTGTCGCGGAGAAGTTTACAAAAGTACTGGCTGTTGTCTGTGGGGCAAGTTACATTACAAAGACAACCCATCGTAAAATAACTGATAAAGTTAACTACTGCTAATTACTCCTGTCAAAGAACTCCTGGAAAAGAAAAATTGAATCTAACGATCAAGCATTTCCAATGATGACTTCGGAGTAACGAGAGAGATACCACGTATATTGGTCAAACGCATCAAATATCAATGGATATCTTAGTCAAATCTGCCAGGAAGCTTTGTTCATAGGCATTCTAACACATCCGTAAGCTAAACGTCCACTTGATAGTCGATGTAGCCGAATCCGTCAGTAAATCACGATGTCAAGTATTGACAAAGGCGCTGAAAAGCCCCTGCTTTTCTGCAAATTTCTCGAAAAAGTTCAAGTCACAGAAATCCCATTTAACGGACACTATTTAGAACTTTGATACGTAGTAAATGCTGTAGAGGAAAATGGAAAAGATTGCATTTTACATGATGATAATTAATAATAATGTTCCTCCTTGAACAGTTAGCCTCCGAGTTTAAAATAACCACTGTTTCCGTGATACTAAATCTATTCGACATGCACTTGTCAAGGCGTCCTGTTTGTGTCTAATTAATCACGCTGAACATTTTCTACGCTTTTGTGTGTATAGAGTGATCGTGGTTGTCAGTTTTCGTTATAGTGCGTTAATTATGTTAATTTCATGATTATGACCCCCGCAGGAAATCGTATCATCGTTCACATCTAATATCATTCAACGACACTCAACATCGTTCACTATTGTCGAACATCCTTCAGCATCCCTCAACATCCCTCTAACCTCGTTCACAACATCATTGAACATGCTCCCATCCGAAATCATGAATTGTCTTGCAACATCTAACATGTTTCGGGGATCTGTAGGTGCACCAAATCTAGTATCGTTCTTTGAGCCTCACAGCACTACCCCAGTGCTCTGATCCTGTCGTAAGCGTAGTACCGCATATATAACACTTTTCAGCCGTTTGTCTAGGCCCAAGCTTTACCACAGCCTTACTGAATCGAATATATGATATAGGGTTATGATCAGAGATCCTTTGAATATGTGGATGCAAAAGGTGCACATTCATTACTATTAAAATATTTAATGCCCTGTGGGGCCAGTTGTTTAAAGCTGGGTTAGCGCTAACCCTGGGTTAAATTTTACTCCACTGTTTTGGTTTATATGCTTCTGCACCGCTGTTTGTTTCAAGACTTTACAAAATAAGACTTATTGATCCACAAAGTATTTATGAAAAAATATGTTCAACTTCATAAACGAGCGATTAAAAAAATTGATGTAAAATTTTGAGTTAACCCAGGGTTAAGCTAACCGGCTTTTGAATAACCGGCCCCAGAGCTGCTGGCCTTTTCTATGATCAAACGATCGCGACTGTTCCAGCATTTTCGTCATTCTCCTGGGTGCCCTGTGGGATCAGATTTGGAAAATAAAGAGACGCCCACTTGACACACCCTGGTCGCCTTCCAATTCACACCTTTGGATTTCCAAGAAAGAAGTAATGTTAATAATGTTATCATGCCTGTTTCAAAAATACAACACGAGCTGATTCCTGCCGAAGAAAAGGAAATGACTGAGCGTTCAGCAGCTTCAAGCGCTGGGACAACTGAAAATGTTGAAGAAGAAAAATTTGATGAAAACTTCTGGCTTATGGTACAGATGTATCAATTATTCATTATATCAATACAAAATGTTATTATTCTATATTCTGTATGTTCGATCCAATTTTACGTAAAGGAATTGCCCCTGTTGTGTTGCAGGACAAACGACTTTTTTTCTTAACTGAGTCATTAAATCACATTAATTGCCCTGTCAGTTTGACACTTTATAACAGGTCAATGTCAGGTGATTTATATACTTGACAACAGAAGTATTTTTTACGCATCTACACTTATCCTAACGTACCGAATCTCTAGTAAATAATCAATTGGCAAACCTTAACAACCTAAAGTAACCCTTATTATTCTAACCCAAACCAACTTTGTCACTTAATTCCCAAAAGGATATTCCCACTCTTAATTCCACTCAATCACTAAGGATTCTCTTAAAATTTAATGAAATTGATTTGATTGTAAATTAGCCTCAGCAATTTGCCAGACAGCAGTAGACAAGAAATACGTTTTATTGTGCTAGATATATAGATAACACATAAGATTTATAAATCCTGAATGGCAATGCATTAATGATTCCCCTTGTATGAGTAGTGATAATGTAGACACATGACAGTTTTATCATGATGATGATATTTTTGGACAATTCTGGAGTCAGTGATTTCTTCAGGTCAGGTCTATCAACTCAAGTCTATCATTAAATGGAGTCTATCATCTAGTCTATCTAGTCTATCATTAAATAGAGTGAAGAATAACCTTATGGAGGGAACTTGTGAGTTGATAGTTAGGTTGCAAAAATTTATTTGGTTGGCAAAAGAAAAAATGATGACAATTATAGTTAACATTTAGGTTGAAAACAAAGTGAAGGAGGAAGGTATACCATGGAATAAGGCAATGGACAAAGTCAGGGCAGAAAGACTGGTGACAAGATATGGTTACCAAGAAGCTCTGGTGGTCCTTATTCGCAAGTGGCCAAAGATGACACAGTTTAAAGAAAAACCAGAAGTGATAACAAGCTTGGAGTACTTGGTATGACTTTTAAAATGATAATTATTATACTCTTAATAATTAAGCTAACAGAGATTAGTATTTAGCTGTGGGAGAATTTCCTGCCCTTTCCTCTGCATTGTCAAGTTTTGTGATTAAATATTAATTATTATGTGTTGATGTCACCAATGAGTGAACTTTATCCCCTCCAACTATCCTGTAGATTAGCAGACTGGCAGAAATAATTCTAGATGAGGACAAAGAAACAGATTATGTTGATTTTTATGATAAAAAGGCTGATGGATCACCCAAAACCCTTCTGCATCTGGCAGCTGAGCAAAACTTTCTTCATGTCTCAAGAAGCCTAGTTGACCGTTTTCCTGCCCTTTTGTATGTAAAGACCGGAGAACAAATAAGTAAAGCAATCTTACCTGTTGAATTAGCTTTAAGAAAGAAACAAGATGACACAGCTGCATATCTCATATCTCAAATGCTTGCTCCTCGGTGAGTAATACAGCTTACACTTGGACCTGGAGGAGAAAAACATCCTCATCCTTCTCATGTGAATTTAAATGAAGGATGGAACAAGGGTGATTTAATCTATGGGAGGGGTGTAGATTAGTATCCAGGCATGGGTTGGGTTGGGTTACAAGCACAAACTTTGGGGGAATGTATTAGAATGTGTGCATGTTTGAAAAATTATAAAAATGAGTATGCTGCAGATACTGCATGATGACATGTGTTAGACAGTGCCAGTGGAATGTAACTATTAAATTTACTCAAGTTAGATATTTTTCTTATTTTTTTCTAGTGTCACAAAGCTGTTCCTTTATGATAACAATACCGAATCAGTAAAATTTAATTTTGGTGAAATTATTAGTTATCGTAATCCCAGGACGAACGAATATGCAATGAAGGTAAACTTTGAAGACTAGATCATCTTTAGGACAAATCTCAAGGCGAGGAATTCTCCATAAATCTTCAACATCCAACAACAATAAAGGCAACATGTGTGAATATCTCCTTCTGTTGTAGTTGAGAACATCTGTGCACTTAATTTCTCGGTATGAGGGGCCAGTTGTACAAATGCTGGATATATATATTAAAGAAATGTAGTGTAATTATATAGGCTATAGCGCCGTATAAATATTTATATTTTAAGACCGTCCGTTGGCTGTTCATGAACGAGTTTACCACACTTTATAGGAATCGCTTAATAAGAAGTTATTTAAGTCAACTTCGGCACATTTAAATTAATTTATAAACAAAACTCTGTCTAATTGCGTTTTTGTCTAATTGTTTTTGATAACAGAAAACGGTCGTGGCTGTATTGAACAAATTGATTAACCCTCATTGGCCGTACCAGCCCGACCGCACAGAGGTCGATGAAGACAATGTTGAAATCCAGCGAGCCTTGGACAGTGTTCCAGACGATCCAATGAATTATGACTTTCACTATCACATCCTAGAAACTGACGAAAATGGCAGAACGCCCAAGATCATAACCAAGTCCAAGGCCAAGAATAAAGATTCTGAATTTGTTGATCAATCGTTTAATCATAGATCAATGTCGTGTCTCCAACGCATTGCTGACAGTGAGAATAAGGTATTGTACCAATAGCTTACTATAGAGTGGACTGGCCTGGTGTGATTTGAACTGATCAGAACTAGACGTGCAACTATTTGACTGAGTCGTGTGCTATTCTATGCTAAAAAACCCTGAACTAATCTGAACTCTGGGCTGAACTTAATACATTTAGATTTATTGAATTGCATTGAATTGGTTAAGTCCAGTCCGGTTGATGTAGACTGGTCTGAACTGGTGTAGACTGGTCTGATCTGGTCTGGCAGGCTGGTCTAGTCTAAACCGTCTTGTCTAGCCTAATCCGGTCTGGTCTGGACTGAGCTGCCATGGTTAGATTGGATGGAACTAAACTGTGTGGACTGCGTAGTGCACATGACTGAAATGGGCCGGACTTGACTGCACGTTTCTGAACTACCGTGAACCAAATTGGAATGAAACGTACATATTGAATGCACTTGAATGAATGGAGTTTATATATGCCTACATTACAGGCCCATTTATGCCAATAATTATTGCTTAAATTGATAGGAAGCTGTGAAACACCCAGTCGTTCGCATGTTGGTCCTCAGAAAATGGAATGAATTTGCCTTCAATTGGTTTTGGTGAGAACAACATTTGAGTTCTAATCTAACTTTATTTACCCTGCCGACTTCCCAAGGAATAATACATTTTAACAACAATGTCTTGACAATTTCTTTTAGTTTCAAGGCTGTCCTTTATCTCATATTTTTGGCGGTATTATCATATGCGCTCATGTTTGGCTCCACTCGTTGACGATCCAGCGCATACGATGGCCGGCTGATAATTTTCGAGCAGTTTGTGAATAGCCAGTATCATCTTTCTCATTGTACACCTGCTTGATGAATTTGGTGATGGTCAGGTAGAAATTCAGTATCTATGCATATGTTACTCCAGGTTAAGATATTACAAGAGTGGTTATGACAGTTGAATACTGATATATCTAGAATGAAATACTATAGTAGGATCGCTTTTGCTGTCACTATCATTTGTAGTGCTTAGCAGTGTGACACCAGTTTTGATAGGTGTGTGGGTATTGATCTTGGCATTAGATGGAGTGTGGTAGGGTGAGTGCAAGGGGTTTAGTTCGGTTCAGGTAGGATTAGAGGGGGCCGTAGGTAGGTGAGTGGCTATTCATAGGTAGGTGATTGGATGGTAAGCTGTGGGTAGTGTGGTTAAGGAATGTACGCATTAGATGGATGCATGAGGGTGTCGGATGATGTGAGTGAGACACGGGGTGGATAAATTTGGATTGACGTGGGTGATAATACACGACCTGCTATTAAATCGTGGTCATGATGAATATGTCCTCATTTATGCCAATATCGTCCCTGCAGAGAAAATAAGCTACTTCGAAGTTTGGCACAACTACTGGACTTACTTGTATTATCCTTACCCTGGTCGTCTTCCTCTCCGCTATGCCGAGGTTAAAGCACAGTGGAGCTTCGCTGCTCTTGGTTTGTTATTCAATTATCTTCGTCTGTATAAATTTTCTCACGTCTCGAGTGCTATTTATTTCGTAAATTACCTTCACAAACAGTTTAAGGTTAATGTGGTAATTATTATCATTCAAAACTTGTAGAATCACAGTCTTTTCCCGACTCTGGTAAAATAGTCCAGAAAGACGTCCCTCGTTTTTTGATTTTCTTCTCTGTGGTATTCGTCGGTTTTGCGGAGCAATGTATTTGGCTCTGAAAGTGAACGACAAGCAAGATTCGTTCGGGTAGTTAACGTCAAATTGCTCTTTTTGCTGTTGTTATGCTGTCATAAATTCACTATATTTCAACCTATTTCTATTATTCGTGTTTCGCTTGCTGATGTTGGCTGGTTTCAGAGCTCTTGCAGAACAACAATCGTTAAGATGACTACCAAAAGTTTAGGTTACATCTTTCATAGCACCGTGAATGTTTAAATCACTTCTATTCGATATTTTATACCACTTGATCTATAATTTATCAGTTCTTTTCAAAGAGCTGAATGACCATGATCGGTGATTCACGCTGTGATCGTTTTGTAAGTGGTATTCTTTATCTCTGTTTTCCAGTGGCTGCCAATTATTATTCTTCTTGCATACATGATGGTGTAATTGTAATCTTACTAAAATCCTCATCGCTCAACTCAGCTCCATTACGATGAGCAAGAGAATCGCCAAACTGCAATACGTGCTGATATAATGAGGATTGTCTCCGGGTGGAGTACAGCCCAATTCGTATTTTGTAAGCGAAACATAATAAAGCGTGCTGGGCAAAAGTTTTAGGCAACCGGTATTCACGATACTTTCTTAGCTTGGTTGGAATGCCGTTGGATGCATTTGCATTATTTTATTCGTCAAATACAAATGTGTACATTTGAAAAATATTTCAATAATATATTTTTCTTATATCATATGCGTGAAAATTCTGACTGGTTAGAAAACTCAAGATTTCAACAAAGTTGTGATATTTAGCGGGTGACCCAAACTTTTGAATTGTACTGTATTGCATGCCAGGGTACCACAGTGAAACAATCTGGCGATAGAGTATTTTTATCTTAATTATCCAATAAAGTTGCCTTTTGCAAACGAACAGTTTTGTCAAACTCGTAAATCTGAAAGTGGGAACTTTCAGCAAGATTTTCGACCAGTGTATATGACTAATTCTAGGGTGGCGTATTCTGTTGAAGTAAGCCGGGAACTATTTTCGTGTTCATGTTAACGACTTCTGATGGTTTTATTTTCTCTTTCGATGAAGAGTTTAAGAGTAAGAAAATACAAACATGCCGATTGGATCAACGACGAGGAATTGGCCAAAGGTACGTCTTTCATGATTTCAGTGCACTAGAAGTTGTTTATCACGATACACAGAGAAGAATAGACTAAATGATAAAGATTTTCAGATGCTTGCTGGCTTATATAACTTTCTTGTAAATAATCCACCATTTAAGTTCGAAAGATAAAATCCGAATTTCTTGCATGTGACGAGAGGTGTATGGATAAAGCACTCGGCTTGGAGCGCACTTTGGGCCGTCACATCAAACGGCATAAACTTAAGTACGGTAGCCAACTGATAATAAATATAATGTTTCGCCAAGAAGTATTTGTTTTTCTTGCATGTAGAAATGTTGGAGTACACGGAAGATAGACATCCTTGGGAGACAGTCAGGGAAAGATTAGCCGATGTTAGGTAATAACGAATAACTAATAAGCATTGTTCTTTCAGACTAGAGAGAACTCCTTTCCCTGTATATTTAAAGACCGAATGGTTGCCTTTGTGCATAAATGAAAAAAGTCGTTGACCATGTTTGCATCGCCAAGAAAAATGTCATGTTATCTCTGAAACATTAATCTTGAATAAAACATCTATCTTCAGAGAAATTATGGGGAGGCTTGTGAGAAAAGGCAAAGAAAAGGATCCTTTGGAAACTATTGATGAAAAAATAACTCGAGTCGTGTATGTAGATGTTATTTTTAATTTACCAACTAAGAAAAATTTGGATATCTCTTCGTACATACGGCTGTCGATGGCTAGGCTTAATTTGGTTTGGCAGACACCCGCTTGACAGAGCTATTTACTTTTATCCTTATAAATGAAGCTGGCTTACCTTTAATCGTGGTTTAGCCAGAGTTAACCTTTGGAGTGAGCGAAATTATCCTAACAAGGACTTCCATTGGAAGAACAGTTCATACTGAGTAAAGTTAGTGTAGCTTAGGTTTCCTGCTGTAGTAACACTGGGTCAGTAAGAGATGTTCCTTTATCCTTTCTAGATCTTTAGGATGATCCGTTCAGAACATTTTAGGATCCCCGGCTTTATTTGTGATTATTTTTATTTCTTTCAGGGAGATTTTGGAAAAGTTCCCCGAAGCAAACGTTTTTGGGGAATAAACCACTTGACATTCTCTGCTCAATTTCCTTGTTTCTCACGCTGACAAGCGTGGTTTTTATGTGCTAAATATCGTAGTATTTGATAAAGAATTTTGATTCGTGTCCAACACGCATACATGAAACTTCTTACAGTAATTAGGACAGGCCTAGTTATATTTGTCAATGAATCTGTCTTAACGTGATAACCTGGCCTGTTGCAGAACTACCAGAAAGCTGTCGTCAGTTATCGTGGTCCAGCGACCACGATACAGCAATATTCATGCTTTATATTTATTTGAAGTTGTCATATTTGCTTTTATTTAATGGGTCTCTGTTGAAACGAGGTTCATACTGAAGGCCCTTACATCGACAATGATAATTTTTATACCTAGATAAGAATATACATTCTCAAATATTGTCTGTCATTGTTTATTAAAGTGATTTTTTCAAATTTCCACTGCACGCTAATAACGCGATAGCTAGCATGCATTCCTAGAATCTAAATCAATCTATGGCTCAACAGTTCACTGGGCCCCCCCCCCGGCTGAACGAGATTGAACTGAACTGTCCAGGTATAAACTGAACTAAATTAAAGCAACGCATATGTTAAACAAGAAGCGCAAGACCGGAACATTTAACGCAGATTTAGGACAAGTTATATTGCACGGTTAATGGAAGGTTATTGAAAATGGTTTTTATCTGGAATTTTTTTGACCATGTAGTAATACTTGCCCCAGACCGCGCGGTCAAATGCAATATGGCGGCGATTTTTCAAATCACTAGCGGCTAAATCGAGGAATGCACATTTGCCCGACGCCATCTTGAATCCGGCGCAAAGGACTGGAACTTAGTGTGATGTTCACTGGTGTGATGTCATTATATTTAGCATGTATGACGTAACCAAAACAAATACCCCGTGACCCCGGTTGCGGGAAATTAAAATATTCGCGGGAAATATTTTGATTTCAAGATCGAAGCTGTGCTTTGTAGTAAAATGTTGAATGTAATAAAATTTTGAAGTTAAATCTTGTCTGTTGTTTTGAGTTATTCGCCTGTGCAAATGCATTGCCAAATATAAAGAAATGTAGGCGATTTTTGCGTCAAATATGAGTGATATAGCGGTAAGCTAAATTTACCTTTACATATGTGCAGGGGCAAGGGCATAACTCGATCGTGCCTTGTAGTCTGTGACGCACTTCAGTTTATTGAAAGTATTTTCTTCACTGAAAGCAGTGAAATGCAGTCTTACAGGGACCGCGGAGCAGTTTTTGGATTGGGGGGCTAGCGAAGCCGAAAGAGTGAACCCTCGGGGGGGGGACCATACTTATCTGTTTATATTTTCTTGTAAATACTTCAATGAAAACATTGTTCACCAACACGGATAGTGAACACATAATTATGATTACACAACTTACTATAAGGAGTTTTTATTCGTTAATTATGGCCATATAAAAATCGCTATAAAGGAATCACATGTATTTTGAAAATTATTGGGGGGCTAAAGCCCCCCAGCCCCCCCCCCCCCCCTCCGCGGTCCCTGTCTTAGCACACCCACGCGCCCTGCCCAATTTAGAGTCCGTGCACCTACGGGGCTTCTTTTTTTCTTTTTCATCCTCTTAACATTGGGCGAGAATGGACTGGGTTACTAGTTATTAAATAAAGTGAACTTCTTTCCGAAAAACTTTAGGTTTCATTTCTCCGTCAAAATTCAAGAGAATTTACGCCTCAGACAATAACAAACTACAGTAGAGGTCACGCATTTGAATGTACCATCCAACAAACAGCTGCGAAGCACTGGAACTCAGCAAAGGTTGTATGTTATTCGGAGTCTCAACAAATTTTAGATCCCACTGTAAGATCACTTCCCTCAGAAGATCAATTAATTCATGGAAAGCAGACATAAACAACAATCGTGGAAAGACCAGACAATATATCGAGACATTTGGAGGAAGATTGGATGTCGATTGCATCGATGTTCTCTTAAGGCTACACACCGCCAAAAGTATTCAAGCAGCCGTACAGCAAGAGGTCAACTGGTTCTCCAAGTCGTACCACAAACCGCAGGGGGTAACTCGACATCCTCCAGCTTCTCTGATATCCAACTTTCAGAAAATGCTTTATTCCAACAGGTACGATGAAATATGCGAACAACACGGTATGACAGCAATGGAGTTATCAATGATATGTGTCAACCGTTGGGTTTCGTCAGATCACATCGCATGGATGACGAAGATATTGACAGAGTCCCAGAGTGACACCTACTGTATATTCCTTAACGGTGCACTAAACACCGACCCTAAAACCTATCGGAGATTTAGAAATGCAAACGCGAACATGCCCTCAAAATTTCTCTTCGCACTTAACGTCGGCCGGAATGAACGTGGTACTTTTCTTGGAACTGATGATCAAAGAGGCTGTCACTGGACACTTTGTCACGTTGACATCATGAAGAAGAGATTGTCTACGGGGATTCTCTTGCCTGGCCTATCCCGAGTGGTCTTTCTGTGCAGGGTGGAACAAGTACTGAAAAGTCGTTTGCAAAGATGACAACGTTTCTCATTACTCGGTTGTTATGCTACATGATCCACAGAATCATTGCCCGATGTCTGGAATGCACCGCTGCGGAGTAACCTGTGCCAACTTTTACCCCTTGCAAACATGTAGCAATATCTGTGGAATTGTTGTGATGGTTATAGGAGCAATAGCTTGTTACAACTTCGAATTTTTCGAGCATCTCTCTACGACACATACTTGTGGCAATGCAACTAACTTTCCACCAATATTTCTTCAGACTCCAACCAGATTTGGGAAGTACTTGCGTCTTGTCGTTGCATCTTGGTTTGCATGTAATTCTGTAAACGTAGAATACGTTGTCCCTCTAATTTGGAAGCAGCAAACACCTGTGCCTTCTATTTTAAGTGGCTGTACAGAAAACATAAAACGCAACGATCCCACAACAGCCAGCAGTTATGATCAACATGAAAACATCAAGAAGATTGGCCCAACCAGTTTAAAAGAAAATTGTGGTGTTCCAGTTGTTCAAATGACTGATGATGAGGATGATCACCCAGCTTTTCTGCTTAAAAGTGATCCGGAAAGTGGAGACGACTTTGTACCACCTAAAAAAAAAGAGGTGCTTACAAAAAAAAAGCACTTCAAATGTCCTTACTGTGATTCCATGTTCACGAGAAAATTCACGCTTAAACGCCACACTCAAAAAGAGCATACAAACGAACAATCTGATGGTAACTGCCATTGTCATGACTGTGGATTTAAATGTCACAAGATAGCAGAATTGCGAAAACACTTGGCAAGGACACACAATATTCTTTTCAGATCTGAACAAATTTTGTTGGAAAACATGAACGGTTAGTTTTTATGTATTTTATGATAAACTTGATGTAGAAAGAGGATCAAAATTCAAAGTGCCTGTACCAATTCAAACCTTTCAATATGTTATCAATAAAATATCTTATTTTCAATTCTAATTAGAATTTCTGGACTGGAAAGACAAAGTGGAAGAAAAAGAGATTTGCTCGTTCACAAAGAAGACCGGGACCAAAGGAAATGTGCAATATTATCAGTGCAACCGAGGAGGATTTTACACCCCCAGTGGTACTGGAAAAAGGCGAACTAAATCACAAGGTTGGATAAATTATAATTTCAGAAATTATTACAATAAATAATTTCAAAAAGAATTTCGTTATCACACAGCAGGCGAATTAGCTGTAGTTTTAATACGCCTTTATTTGACATACTGAAAGATTAGATAAGTATTAAATAATTAAATATCTTTAATGTACTTTAGGAAGCTGCAAGATACAAAAAAACTGTACATCGACGATTAGGGCTGAAATTACCACCGAAGGAAAAGTGAAAGCTGACATCTGCTATACGCACTACGGGCACGAGAGGGATCTACAACATACTTGGATAACCAAAAGTAAACGGCAAAAAATTGCGTCTTTGTTGAAACAAGGAGTCTCACGTGACAGAATACTAAATGACATTCGAGAGGAAGCCATGCAGCAGGAATCAGAATTTACGCGGTACCACCTAACTGCAAAAAAGGATCTTGCGAATATCATGTCATCTTTTGGTGTCAGCGAAGTACAAAGGCATCCCGATGATCAGGAGAGCGTTAGAGCGTGGATCGAACAGTGGAAAATGAGCGAAAGTAACCCAGTACTTTTCCATAAGTTTCAGGGTGAGTCTGCTCCAGACGGGTTTGACTTGACAAAAGACGACTTCATGGTTATCATACAGAGTCCGTTCCAGAAAGAGATGGCCCAAAAGTTTTCCAGTAAAGGCATCTGTGTTGACGCGACGCACGGAACTACTGGATACGACTTCCTCCTAACATCGCTTGTGGTGATTGATGAGTATGGAGAGGGATTTCCTATTGCCTGGTGTCTTTCAAACCACGAAGACTTCACCCATATGTGTATCTTCTATGAAATGATAAAGCGAAATTGCGGAGTCCTGACGCCAAGGTGGATTATGTCCGATTTAGCAAGCCAGTTCTACAATGCTTGGTTAGGTGTAATGGGTGGCAAGCCACTACGTCTTTTCTGCACCTGGCACGTGGATAAAGCATGGCAGACAGAGCTGCGAGCTAAAGTGAAGGATACAGGTACATCTTGATCTTCTTCATTGCTTAATGTCATACAGGCTTTTAATATCATGGAACTACCATGGACGGTCGTGTGTGCTGTAAGCCTCAGGCGGCTAGATGATCATTGTGATAATTACTTTCAATGCATTACGTACATAATCATCATGGTTATAATTTTAACTCATTTGCAAAAGGGAATGATGCAGATGAAGCTAGAACGCGTTTTGGCATGCAGTTGCGATATTTTACGCTACTTTAAACGATATATCTTGCGGACTAATTACTGTTTTAGTCAGTTCCATTCAGAGCTATAGCTTGAGTTGCCCAACCAACTAAATGCGAATAAAGTGCGCTTGAGAAAGAGTAAAATGCAGTACTAAAGTAGGGCAATGGGTGTATTTCGTGCTAAATGGTTGTATACTTTTTCCTCCAGTTGTAGCAGCAGATATATACAAGATGCTACGTACTGTTTTACAGCAAACCGATGTCACCTCCTTCCAAGATTACCTTTCCCAATTTTTGGAACGCCTGCCATCATTAAGCTTGGAATTCTGTCAATATTTTCAAAATGAATGGCTAGGCAGGGAAGAATCGTGGGCATATTGCTACAGGAAAGGGATGGGAATTAATACCAACATGCTGGTGGAGGCATTTCATCGTGTTTTCAAGTATAATTACCTGAAAGGGAAACACAACAGAAGAGTTGACAACTGCTTGTTCAACCTCCTGAAGTACACCCGAGATAAACTGTTTGAGAGGTTAATAAAACTGACAAAAGGAAAGAGCACTAACAAATTGAAGACCATACAAGATCGCCACAACAACAGCAAAGGATTGAAGATTGACAGTGTTCAATGCGTCGACGAATCAAAATGGCTGATAAAAAGTGAAAAAGGTTCCGACACATATACAGTCACCAAGCAACACCAGCATACATGCACAGACACATGTCAGTTACGATGCACAGAATGTAGCACTTCAGTGTGCATACACCAGTATACATGCACCTGTCATGATTATCTCATTCAGCACACCATATGCAAGCACATACACCTGTTGCAACACTTTTTATCTGTTGACACCAAACAGACAAATGATATTGCAAATGAAGTTTTGAACAGTTCGCAATCGCAAGATTTTGTACCTGAGGAATTGGGACTTTTAACATCACATCTCCACATGCAAAATAAGGTGTCAAATGATATTGCATCCCTTAAACAAGGCATCAAAAGGAAACTTCTTACATTGTCAGAACAAATTGAGTCATGTACCAACAAAGAAGCATTGCAACAGTTAGACAAACAAATCAATGCTGCACAGAACGTCTTTTCATCGCTGCAAAAGCATCCATGCCTCCATCACAAGATGCAACCAATATCTAACACACCAGCTAATAAAAATATTGAAAAGCAGAAAGGATTTCGATCAACCAAGAAAAAAGCCAAAACAACCAACAAATCTAGATTGACAAAACCAAGCAAAGAAGATATCCTTTCACTCTTTCCAAACACTAATGATCCTGATGATGGTATGTAATAATAATTACCTTTTGATGGGTTGTTTCACAAGCATTGTATGGCTTAATACAATATTACTGACAGTTAACAATATGAATATATAACTTTATTTTGTAGTTCAAGAGTTGCTTAGTTGCTTTGGTGTTTCAAACAAATTAATCAAGATGGTCATGGAGACAAACAAGCCTCTTTCAGAGAAAGACATCCACCTTGACAAAAAACATCCATCAGAAGAAGCATTGAATTTCAACATAATATCCATCAAACAGTACTTAGATCAAAAAGCATGGGAAAAAGTTGTCAACTCATGTATGTTACTCTACATACAAATCTAAATAACACTATTTAGTAATGGCCGGCCATTGTCAGTATAGTGTTAGTTATCATATTGCTGAATAACCAATTATTGCATGAATAATGAATAACCATTAAGCTACGTCAATTCAACTAATATATTGTTAACAAATTTTATTAGATAATTATTATTTTTTACAGTTCAGAAATTACAAGAAGAGTGGAGGTGCTCTACATGCAACAAAGCTAGCTGTGAAGATATGATAATGTGTGATTCATGTTCAACCTGGCACCACTGGTGAGATTGAGTTACATGCATCTGCAGTGATTGGCAACTTGCAGTTGGGACTTTACCATTATATTGGCAATCAAAGCTAATTAATTAAATTAAATTAATTTCATATTTTTAGTCATACAATTAGCTTTGCACACTATTTTTATTAATGTGGCCTAATGTTAACTCATCCCCACATTTTTTACCAATGCAAAGGTGATGGCATTCTACTAAAGAATTTGTAACCTATCTCAGTACAGCATTATTTTTTTTTGTCTTTGCTTAACTGCCTAGTTTAGGAGCACAAGGACACCCTCAGTTATGCCACCTTGGACCACCAGCCTGCCATTGACATAGATGCATTAATTTTTTACCTTTCAAACATCTAGGGAATGTGTAAAAATCAAAAGTGAACATGATGAATGGTATTGTCAAATATGTGAAAATCTAAATCAGGTAGGTAGTGCACATGCATATATTATATTTCAATGGTAATTAATGATTCTTCATCCACACAAAAGAAATCATAAGGTAGACAATTAGCATTAGGTTATACCTGAACAATTGGTAAATCAACAGTGTTGCCAAGCGGAGCTAGGGAATATGGGGACTGAATTGTTGATATATTATTAATCATTAAATCATCTTTTAATTAATGTAAATACATTAATTACAGTATTAAATATATAAATATTTTATGTTCAAATTTCAGGATATGTCATCCAACTAACAATATCGAATTGACAATTAGGGAGACAATTGTCAATCATTTTCACTTGGCATTCATGTTTATGTTATTGACAACTTTTATTATATTTGTAAAGTTGTATATTTTTTGGCATTCATGTTTATGTTATTGACAACTTTTATTATATTTGTAAAGTTGTATATTTTATATAATTATGTAACAATATCGAATTGGTAATTAGGGAGACAATTGTCAATCATTTTCACTTGGCATTCATGTTTATGTTATTGACAACTTTTATTATATTTGTAAAGTTGTATATTTTATATAATTATGTAACAATATCGAATTGGTAATTAGGGAGACAATTGTCAATCATTTTCACTTGGCATTCATGTTTATGTTATTGACAACTTTTATTATATTTGTAAAGTTGTATACTTTATATAATTATGTAACAATATCGAATTAGTAATTAGGGAGACAATTGTCAATAACTTTCACTTGGCAATTTATGTTTATGTTATTGACAACTTTTATTATATTTGTAAAGTTGTATATTTTATATAAATATGTATAAATAGGGAGAATTATCATATAAAGCAGCACAGGAAGCAAGCCAAAATGATGCATGCATCTTTATATACTATATCATATATTTATATAAAGTATATATATTATATATAATATATATATATATATATATATATATATATTATATATATATATTATATATATATATATATATAATAGATAAAATAAAATAAACTTGGTTTACTTCATAAGATTTTATTCACTACAAACTTGTTTCGTATGACAAAGACAAAACGCACTAGAGACAGAAACGTTATATGGTTTAATCCACCTTACAACTCCAATGTCGAAACGAATATCGGACACAAATTCCTCCAAGCAATTGATGATTGCTTTCCTAAAAACAATCCTCTCCATAAAATATTCAACAGAAATACCTTGAAACTAAGTTACAGTTGCATGCCCAATGTCCAAAATATAATTTCTGGGCACAATAAATCTATAGTAAATAAGTTCACCTCTACAGATGCGTCAACATACAGCACGAAACCAAGTCAATGCAATTGCAGGAATAAGTCCTCATGTCCACTGCCCGGCAAATGTCTAACATCCAGCGTAGTATACCAAGCAACGGTTGTTAGGAACGATACGAATCAAAAGGAATCTTATGTCGGACATACAGAAGGGAAATTCAAAACAAGATATAATTGCCACACTAGTTCATTTAGATTAAGCAAGTATAGAAATGCGACAGAACTGAGCAAATACATCTGGCAACTTAAAGAGGCAAAGGTTAAGTACTCATAGACTGGCGTATTATTAAACAATGCAAGAGCTATAACAACACAACAAAACGCTGCAGCCTTTGTACACATGAAAAATTTATCATAATTTACCACCCTGAACTTTGTTCTTTAAACTCAAGAAATGAACTGTTATCGAAATGCAGGCATAGAAACAAATTTCTCTTAAGCAATATTACTTGATATAATCTGTATATATTTATATGTAATTTAACACTATAGCTTTCCGTTTTACGTCAAACATGTATATAGTATATATAACCTTGGCAACAACATAGCGCGACATTTAAATTCACCTGATGAGTGTGGCAAGCGTTGCTTGTCATACGAAACAAGTTTGTAGTGAATAAAATCTTATGAAGTAAACCAAGTTTATTTTATTTTATCTTTATACTAGCTCTATACTTTGGTATATCGAGCACTCTACTCATATATGATTCTAAATACATATTTGATATATATATATATATATAGTATATCAAGATGCATACATCATTTTCGCATGCTTCCAAAAAGCATCCAAAATATATACTTTCATTTTATGCACTTGCCTTTTGTTTCTTTTGTTTTTTATATTTTTTTGACTTGCTCAGTGTCGAACATCCTGTACCGTAGACATATATGAACACTATATTATAATTCAGCAATTGATTGAGTCACATGACCGTGATATTATTTTACTAATCCATCATTATCCACGATAATAACCATCTATCCTCTAGTAATGTCGCCCCAGTCTTTTGCGCGGGATTCAAGATGGCGTCGGACAAATGTGCATTCCTCGATTTAGCCGCTAGTGGAGGAGCGGGTGTTGTAAATATGCCCAATTCATCGGCTGGTAGCAAAGCAGTCCTAAGAATCAAGCGAAAAAGAAGTGCGGATCCAGCAGATATATTATGTAAGCGCTCATATCATGCCATTCAATCACCTTGTAGTGCAAGAAATCAAATCAAAAGTTGTGCTTTTAAAATGGCCAGATGTGTTATTTAGTGTTAACAGGTATTTTCGTTTCTGCAGTGGTTTCTCATGCCTTTAAGAAAGCTTTCACTGATGAAGATCATAAACGCTCCTCTAACGCAGATAACCCAGGTAGGTATTGAAAAAAAATGCGCTGTTGAATTAGCCATTAACTCTCAAGTTCAGTAGTTAGTAAATTATAAGCAACTTGCCGTATAATTGTTATCAAAAGTCTTTGCAAATACCAGTTCATTTTTTTTTCACAGGGCAAAGAGTCTTCAAACTTGCTGGAACGGTTTCAAAGAAAAATGACGAATCTTTATCTCAGGAGATTCTGGTAAGGTCAACTCCTGGCTTTAAATATCTTTCTCCAGACTTGAAATACCGGTCTTTGCTGCGATTAGTTTTGAAAATAAAGTCCATTCCTAAGAAAATAAACTGTCTATTTAGACCAAACTGTCAAGAAAGGATGTGCACAAATCCAAGGTTAAAATCAACCCGAAGAATGAGCTGACTGTTGATTCAATCAACGAGAAATTGAGAGAAACGAAAAAGGTTTGTTAAGGCTTCTTTACACTTGCAATTTTAGTATGTATAATATGTCTATGTATAACTGTTGGTGTGAGTTTGGCATACTAGTTGCAAACATGTACCATCTTGTCCTTCAGTTATCAAGGCAAGCGTCAAGATACAAAGTCATTTCCAAACACAGAGACGTCGAAGATGAAGTCGCTGACGAAGTTGATGCTGTGTCGCAAGAAATGTCCAGACTGTACAACCTGTACGACGTAGTGTTAGATGAAGATGAATCCAGGTAAAACTGCATGGTCTCAATATTATGCCCTGTATAGCACAACGATCTAACCGGGGACTTGTAGGAGATGAGAGTCGATCAACATTCTAATAAAATTACATATCCGAATTCGAGCAGTCTGTTCTCCAACGAATGTTATAGATGAGCCCTAATTTTGCCCCTATAATGTTGACAATTGGTGTAACGTCTGACTCATAATTTTAATCTGGTTATTCTTAATCTTATCATGCAGAGATGTAACGAAAAAAGAAAACAAGGAAGATATAGACCCGAATGCAATTTTATGCAATTCCGTCAAAATGATTCGTGAAAAACTTCGGATTGACGATAAACCGAAAAGTAACTTAGAAATCCTTGAAAATGACTTCGTCTATGATGTTTATTGTGCTGATGATAACTATGGTGCCTTATCTGAAGTGTAAGTATTTCTTTTCTGCATCGTTGTTTTCCCCCAGGAACATCTCTCTTAATGCTTTTTTACGTTAGGTTACAAATCCATATCCTAGACCTATATTTCTGTCGCGCACTTTCCCCCCCCCTCTCTTCAGATTTTTCTTCATTATTTGAAGCGCGCCTCTCTCATATTTTTTGTTACTCGACGATCTTTTTCGTCGAGTATACTGCTCCACAATCTCTCTTATTTTTTATTTATTGAGAGTTACATGTATCTCTTTTACTGCCAGGTTGGATATTGTCCACTTAAACGAAAGTCAGTTAGTCACAACTGCTTCAGACGAGGAATTTAACTATTATGAAGACGACGACGATTCAAATGGTAAGGCTTGCTCACTCTTGTCCATGCAGGAACGTTGCATTCGTATGTGTGGAAGGCCAGTGGTTTCATTTCGATCCGCCATCCTGCACAGTCTCACTACAGTATGCTCATGTTTTGGGTATACTTTTTCCTCTATCGGATGTGAGAAAACTTAGATAAGTATTTCCAGATTTCTACTGTACTGGACATGGTTCTGCGTGTGCAGTCGACAGAGTCAATCTTGAGTTAGTGAAACTTGTTTCTCTGCACATGTATAGACGAAAACAATTGGCGAAATGATTATCCTGATGAGGATGAGTGGAATGAAAGTTCCGATGAAGAAACACGATACAGAAACAAAGAATTTGATTATGGTGTGTTTTGGTTTTTAGTTTTGATTGGTTAGGTAATTGCAGCATTATAGAGATTAAGTTTTATGTAGTCTGATTAACAGGGAGAGCTAGATCCTTCACTTACTGCTTACCTCGGTGGCAATGAAGGCATATCTCTGACAATAATTTTTCTTCAAAGGTTACGACGGAGATAAAATGTTTTCTAAAGAATTATCAAGCGACGAAGAATTAGATTTTTACGGGTAAGGATTATAAGTGGCTGTTTATAACAGGCGAAACTCACGTTTGAGCTCTCCCAGGCGGCTTTCAAATGATTAGGAGCTAGTCAAAATACAAATGTATATTGTGCTTAAAATAAAGCTGATTTTCCAGGCTAGGTCTGTAGGTAGGCTAAGTAGATAGGTCTGTAAAAAGAATCGAAGAACCTCAGAAATGACTTTGAGTTTGAGAAAAGTCAATCTGCATTTCGTTTATTTCTTCCTAACAATGTTTCCCGTTTTATCACAACAGGAAAAACAACGATGAATATAATTACGAAATCGTCGATGACGACGAATACTATTAACCTCATCAAGTGTTTCCCTGGCAACCAGATTAACAGCGCTGGAATATCAGAACCTCGCAATTGTGGAATACATTCCTTCGACCGCAAACGAATACATTCCGAGGAGGATTTTGCATTTCTGGTATCATTTGCTTCGGCAGAGATAAGTGACGTTATCTTTACTTTTTGTCAAACCAAATCGTATGAAATCTGGTTGCTACAATCATAGCTGAAATCTTTCTAGTCTAATATTCCCCTGCCCCAGATAACCAATTGATTGTTCCGAATATTGCATCCATACTGTTCGGATATCGGAAACCTCAATATAATAATATTAGGTCGAATTTCAGCCTTTAATGTAAAGGCGGAACATTAGCACGAAAATGGAACATTGAAATGATTAATAATTACCTGTGATAATTTAAGTGATTATGTTTCAGTAAACATATCATATATGAAGTACATTGTCATCTCTGTTCCAAAAGAGCTTTCTCATAATGACGTCAATCGTGGAGAGCCTGTGATACACAAAGTTTGATTGGCTCAAGTAAACTTTGATAAAGAATTCACTGATTGGCTCTGCAAAACTAACGAGCCAATCAAACTTCGTGTAACATCAGGCTTTCTGCGCTTGACGTCATTATGAGAAAGTTATTTTTACCCAGGTCTTCCTGTTTAACCGAAATACGTCAAAGCATTAACGAAAGTCGTTGATCTTGTCATGAACAAAGTGGATTTGTTATTCCCGCAGTATTTTAAATTAAATTTAAAGTATTTTAAATTTATTTCACCACCGCACTTGCAATACCAAATAATGGAGATGTGTTAGGTGTTTCACTGAGGGTATTCCCATAGGCCTTCGGAATTGAGAAGTGCTTTGAAAGAATTTGATGGAAATTGGAGTTAATCTAGAATGTGCACGCTTTTTCAACATGCGGTTAAAAAAATGTGCACTTATTAAGTTAATCATGCAACAGGCTATGTTTGAAATAAATACATATTTCAAACTTCGGAATTCAGATTGACCTTCAGGAAATATTCGGAAGGATCAATTCGTTTGTGCGTGGAGCAAATTGGCAATGTAAGCGTTTATCACATCTGCATGATGTACACCACATGACCCGTTTACAGAGAACCTTGTTTCTTGATAACAACATCCTGTGATTTCCCCACCCACGTCTGTTTCCGCACCTGACTTTGAAACAATGATGACTTTGATAAACAATGGTTGGCAGGAACTAATTCTTAGCTGAAACGAAGGCAAGCCAAAACGTGCACTTCGACATTACAATTTGTTACACTAAAAGTGAAACTCTTCCATGTTTGTTCTTGCCTGCCAAAAAATTACATCGGCGTAAAGCAGTGCTTAGTCGTATGACGACGACTCTTGGCTGCACGAGCTTACTTCCTTGGGATCTATTCCGATTTGAAGAAGCTGTTGTTAATATCTCGCCCACTTGCATTAAACAATTTTAACCGCCAAATTCACGGATAGTGGATTTGAATAGTTATGTGTGTTCGCTTATGACATATTTTAAATTATTTACGTGTATTTCACCCTCATCAACTTAAGGTTTTACTGACCTACTTACTTATGTATAAAGTTAAACTAACATGCTCTTTTCAATGTCTGCTAGCTATTAAAATACTTGTCTCGGACACGCGCATTAATTAGAACTATTTCTTTTTCATGATTATTTGGTAAGTGAAACCGTTTAATTAATGGCGCGAGCTAACAAATCACGGCTAACCGCTGATATTTAAGTGACGTTTGAATGTGTTTTCTGGTAATTGCACTGATGAAGGCCCGGGTTAACGGACCGAAAGCTTTGCAGTATTAAATACTTACGTGGTGTACCTACAAGCTAAAATACTTATCGACTGTCACCATGCAAACATACAAGAATATTAATAAACTAACATGCATAACCAATATTTAACAGGAAATGAAAAGAAAGGTTTTAGATCTTAAAGGTTTTAGGTTTTACAAAAAAGACATTCCCTTGCACAAAACTTCCGAAAAATTTCTTTTGCAAAAAACTTCCGAAAACTTCAAAGAATTTATTTATATTTCACTTCGTGGCATCAGGTATTTCAAAGACAAATCGCTGTTTTTCATTTCTTAAAAACTCTTTTATCTGATAATGGTAATCACTTGAAATTGAAAATATTATGAATATTTAAACAACAGGGCGCTAGTTTCGATATAGAAAGATATAAAGATGAGAGAACTACAGCTAGTGAAGATAGTTCAATATGCGTCAGGTCCCTGCGGTCAGTTTAATTCCCCGGTATAATATCGTAACTAGCCAACATTTGCAAAACAGCATTGTAAAAAAGTGCAGACTGTGAAATTCAAATTGGCTCGCAATTGTTGTGAGTTGAATAGCTTTTCGATGTGAATTCAAAGGAATATAGCTAATTTGTATCCGAATTTTTAGTACTGTCAAAGTACCGTTTGGAAGCATGGCATTTAGTTTGTGCTGAATTGCCCTGGAAAATGGGCTAAAATCCAAGTATTTCTACACAATGTCTATTGGCTCTCATTATTATCTTTTTTATTAGTGAAGATCATGTATTGCATGTAGTCAGCCCAACAATTTAGTCGTACTATACCAATATGTTAATGTTCATTGACTGTCAAAACAATAAATTTCTAAAGAAATGAATAATGATAATAACATAAAATTTGTATAGCATGACTAAATCGTCAGGCTGCCTACGCCGCTGCCAATTTGATTAAACTCGCAGATATGAAACATTCCAACTTATATTTCTATATCGCCGAAGTTTGCAAAGGAATAGTTTAGACTCGGGTTAAGTCCTCTTACTAGATTGCTTGCCTATATATAGTCTCGTATATAGTTTAGGTCAACAAATTTCCGTATGCAGGCCCTCGACATAATGAGGTGAATTTAATAAAATAACATTCAAGCGCGTTTGTAATCGCTGTTATCGCTTAAATCAACAGTTTATTGACAAATATTGTCATGATGCTTTTGCAAATCAACGAAGCACAACCGAGGCTAATACGTGTGTTAATCATTTCTTATTAAATTTTACATTTATTGACCCTTTGGATGGGATTCCTGAAAAGCCACAAGTTATGATAAACCTTGCTGCATCGTAGCTTCCGTAGTATCGCGTGCAGGAAAGACTCGGAGAGCATTCCTAGTATAACTATCACTGTCTCACATCCTCTGTGGCAATTATAACGAAAACACGCACGATGATAACGAAAGAACAACAAGACAGTAATAATGCAATCTCCGAGTACGACTGGCATATACCTGTCGCGTGTGTATTAAATTTCGGGTTGTTTAATTTTCTAAAGTGTTTCGTGACGTGTTTGACCTTACAGCCGCAAGAAGGAGGAGAATTCATCAAAAACTAATATTGTTCAACGCTGCGCTGTCGATGACGAAATGTGCTCGAGCTCATTTTAATATTGTTTCCCTTTGGGGTCTGGTTCCGGATCAGCGTGCATATATAGCCAGTGTCTTATTTCCGTCTCACACACACACAAGCAGCGCCAACGTAATTGCTGACAAATCAGACGGTAGTCAGGAGTATTGTTGTGGTACCAGTTACTAGCAGATTCATACCACCAGTTTAAAGATATAAAATATACAAGTTGGACGCTAAATTTTGTCAACACGTTGGTCTTTGGTTCCGGCTTCGGGATCTAAATGCCGAGATCCTGGCTTCATCGCCAAACTCGCTGTCGTAATAAGATGCCAACAGAGTTAACTATACTTCGTGGTAAAAATCCGTCGAACGAACACCCAAACTTTATCTCAGGCGAGAGTTCTCACGTCGCAGCCCATTGTAAAGGACGGCTGGTCTCACAAAATGGACGAATCAAGGTGGCAAATTCAAACGTGCCCGGGAAACACGAGCGATACATTGACGACTTATTCACGACTATTCTAGATATGCCCTTTAGATGGATACTTGGTATTTATTCGATGGTGTACCTGGCTAGTTGGTTAGGGTTTGGCACAATTTGGTTTATTATACACCGCGTACGTGAATCAAAAGGCTACGACGAGTACTATTGTGTCGAGAAAGTTGATAGTTGGACGTCGGCGTTTCTCTTCTCCATTGAAACTCAAACAACAATAGGTTACGGCGGCAGACAGGTTAGTTGTATTTTAAAATTGTTTTTGAAGATAGAATTTAGATTCATCCGTTGGTGGTCGGTCACTGCATTCACTAATTGTGAAATATTTACACCTCAAGGTCAACATGGAAAATATTCGCTGCCGTGTTACCTTAATATTGCGTTTACTTAAAATATTTCGCTATTTGTATTAGAAAGGCGGTATTATTTGACATAATAAACCGTGTCTTCGGTAAGAAACGCACGTCTTTAATCCCGGCAGGTGAGAAACGGCATCTACGGCGAAGCTCGAGTCTTCGCCAAACAGTATTTTATTTTGTATGTGTACGAACATCAACTCTCCAGTCAATAGCACGTAATATTGCGATATAAAGTGCTCTATTTGTAACTAGCGAGTTTTGCCATAGTTACTCTAGACTTAAGGCTACTGTAGTCTCGTGTATTACCATGTATGTCATGCATGGAGAAATATCAACAAGAGGTTATTGAGCCTTCATTTAACAATTTTTCAATTATAAAAACTTCACATTAAGTTCGCTATAAAGTCTCAAGCCGAAAGGATAGGGGGCCCTAGCTAGCTCAATTTCTCGTGAAGAATATTGCTGGACAAAAGCAAATCCACCAATTCTGAACTTTCTCTGTTCGCCAATATTTGTTATGTCTTACGACCTTCCTTTATACAACAAGAGATAACGTGGCCATTCATGCGTCTACTCGTTTTATTAAACTATGTTGTAATTGTTTCTCATTTGACGCAAACACTGGTTTTATCACTGCTACAGATCTACGAAACTATAAAGATAAGCTGTAAACGATGTAACGAAATATTCACTTATCCCCTCCCCGCGCTTCTAACAATATTCGCGGCACCGCGATACACGAGTGAAACATGTTATAAAAATGTAAGACCTGGACACACTTGTTTTGAAAGACGAAATAGACACTTGTGCACTAGAAACATGCAGAGGTTTAGACTGCCATCATTAGAATCTCTCAACGTAACTTGCTATTCCAACCGAACCAATTTAGCTAAAATCTTTCCTGGCCATATTATAAACGAGAGGGTTTGGATTAAATCTACAACTCCCAAAATAGATGCTTCGCCGAACGATAAGATGAAATTGTCAAATTGAGGGTTTCTACTTTAAAGTTTGTCAATTCCAGGAGTTCTCTAGTATAAGGTAATGCCTCGTATTCACGAGTTGCAACGTCAATACATGTTTGTTGTTGCGTATGTGCTATGCGAATGACGAAATGTTGGCCGACAAAATGTTCCCCTAATTTGATCCTTGCAATATTCTCAATTTCAAGTATCATGCCTGGAGGGAATCGTCATTAAATTCGATACCATGACATGTGAATCTACTACTCCGTGCTGCGATGATATTTTAAGACATTACCGAAATCCTAGCATTAAGATATGATGACCCCCTTGGATACAACTGTCGCAGCTAGAAGAGCTTATAGACATGCATGGAGTGTATTATTAATGTATCCATCATACACCCTGTTTATTTGAATATTTCATTCTTAAATTCCCCGTAAATTTGCTGTGTTGTTGATTTGTGAAACAGGACAATTTGTATGCTGAGTGATTGTATTAAGCTGCGTTTATACACCGTGGTATTTCTCAATGTGTGAGCTTCCGAACACTAACCTTGATAATACTAAGCCTATTGCGCGACTTAAAAACGGGCAAACTTTGCAGCAATCGTTACGATATGTTGTCTCTTCTTCACATAAAGAACTAGGAATGCTCTTGAAAATTTCCAAATCGAAAAGGTTGTTCTTTTTACAAAGAGTAAATAAGCTGCGTATTTATGCCCTCAGTGAAATTATCATCTCGATTATATCTGTCAGCAATCATCAATTCTCCCTATTACGATCAAATTCCGCCTGACAAGACAGTGATAAAAGTTTGTTCTGTACATCATGAGTTGAAAAATAATCATTGCCTAATATATTGAATTTCCAACGCGCGCATGAGGGAACAGAATATTCACTCCTTGTGTTATTGTATAAAGTCTTGAGAGGCTAAGAGCTTTCTTGTCTTCCACAAAGAACACCGTGGCACCTGCTAGAGATTCAATTTGGTGTATTTGGATTATATTGGTGAAGAAAACGTACTCTATATAGGAAGCTTTGCTGTGTTTTCGTCGGGAGGTAATGATATTGCTTGTGCGCATGCAAAATAGCGTGACTGGACGGAGCAGAAATTGCTATATAAATGATGTGCCGCAAGCGTTTAGCAATATTCGTCATTCCCGCACGCTATATAGTCGCGCATGTGAATCTTGAATGGCAAACACGTCAGGTCAGGGAAATGTGAAATCTTATGCTGGCCCAACCTGACCTGCCCTTAGCGGTGGAACAAATGTAAGCATGTCAACTTCCTACTGAAAACTCTTTTCTGACACTTCTAAGCCTAAGGAGTTTCGAAATAGTGATTTGGTGCCCTTTGAATTTCTCAGGGATTCGTGCATTTTTCAAAGAGGATTTGGAGACTCTAGGTGTTAGAGGTTTTTCCCAACTCCGTTACCTGAGTGTATTTCCCACGCAGGATATTGGAATTTTTATGACACATTCCAAACAGAATCCTGACCTAACTGCATCATTGTTATGCTAAATAATATATAAACATCGATTGTGTTTAAAATCAAGTAGCTAAATCCCGTCCTTACATCAAATTTTTTAGCTGCTAAAAACTTCCCTCAGAGACATGTTTTCAATGCTTCATTGTCCCGTTGTTATTAACGGAGCGACTTGTTTTATTCGAAGTAGTTTCAAACCCACGATGTAAAATTTCATTGTGTGACGCAGGAAATGTTTCAATGATGTCTTGCGTGAGAACTTGGATTATTTTTCTCGCAATTCGATTCCGCCGAATTAAAAAGATGAGACGTCATAAATTTTCAGCACCTGCGGGGGATTTAATGTGCGTGTCAGCTTTATTGCTTGCTTCTTTATCGTGACCTCTTTATCCCTCTCGAAGTTGTCAAGGAAATACCAAAACCACCGTGTCATAATAATGTCATTAGAGGTATCTTGCTAGATGTTATTTCAATGTCGAAGTTTTGATGGACTTTTTCCGCAATTACGACAAATAATGTCATTTTTGGTGACCAGGTGCTTTTAAGGTCTTTAGAAAGCAAAGTTGTTAGTCGTGTGGGACAGGATAGACGTTTTACAATCATAACTGAAAACACTTCAGTTCAAGCAGATTAGCAAATCCCTTTAATGTCCTCACGAAATAATGCACTTTAACTATTCCGCGCCAACAATCCTCCTCGAAATCTATCAAGATTTGAATACAGAAGTAGAGACAAATATATTTAAATGGCTGTGTGCCGTAAAGAGATAAGTCGCGCATTCCTCCTTGCTCGTAAAATAAACTAGCTTCCATACCAAGACTGAACAGCGAAGGGAGGAAGACGAAATGTTTAAAACACGCCGGCCTGATGAAAAATAAACAATGTTATGCTGCAGTATATGAAAATACTTGTCGTCGGTATGCCAAGGTGGTGAATGATGTGATAGAGTATTTCTTTCAATTCTTTGTGTGTGCAGAGTCAATAATGACCGATTTGAATACAGAAGTAGAAAGAAGTTTACATCCAGACTATTTCTCATCGGTGAAAATGACTTTTACTTGAATGACTTCACGACAACTACAGCGAATGGAAACCAGGGCCTACCAGGCTAAACAATTATATTACACATTGTTCAATCGTGTTGGCTACTCGTTTGTGATATGTATTCTAGGTTCTCAGTAATATTGGCTGCTTTTCTATTCAAGGGCCGATTGTACGAAAGGATAGTTAACTTAATAGTTTTGTGTCTCATATATTATCTATATACGTCCCACTTACGGAGCAGCTTAAGCGAAAGTGGCCAGCTTAGTCAAGTAAAGTTCTATCTTATCCTAGTCCCCCTGTCATCATTCGAATGATTTTTGAATTTTTCAGTGTCCTGAGTGGTTTCAATATATCACTGTGCATGTCATGCTGTCTCTAACCTCATCTACTTATTTTTCTTCAAGGTGACACCAAACTGTCCGGAAGGTGTGGTACTTCTTTTAATTCAGACTTTAGTTGGCTCATTTATAGCCGCGACTTTACTGGGGATCGTGTTCGCCAAAGCATCGAGGCCTAAAAAACGCTCACGAACTGTGCTATTTTCTGAGAAAGCCGTGATAGGAATGAGGGACGATAATCTCTGCCTCATGTTTCGAGTCGCTGACCTCAGGGCATCGCAATTACTGGAATGTCACATACAAGTGGAAATGTTTTATACACGTCAGACAAACGAGGGAGAGTTGCCGTATTTCCACGAAAAATTGAGCATCGGTAATGGATTTGAGTCTGAAGGTGAAGGCGAAGAGATATATTATACCTTTATGATAATACCAAACACAATTGCACACGTTATTAACAAAGATAGTCCGCTTTACTCCATGAGTAGTTTGGATATGCTTAAAGCGAATGTTGAATTGGTCGTGTTTTTGGAAGGGGTCATCGAAAGTACAGGCTTGACGATGCAAGCTAGAACGTCTTACACAGCAAATGAAATTGTCTGGGGATGTAATTTCGTTCCAATGCCTCGCCATGATGATTTGTTTTTCAAAGGGGAACTCGAGGTCGATTTTTGCCATTTTAATAAATTTCAGCCGGTTAGTAAAATGCCTGTGTGTTCCGCGAGGGATCATGAACTCGGGAAGACGAGACGAAAAGGGGAAGAGAGTGCTAGCGATGAGATAGAAGAGGTGAGTAATGGTCACGGCGGTGCAAATGGGGTGAATAAGGAGAAGAATGCTTTACCTGGGGTGAAGAATGAACAGAAGAACGGACAGGAGAAGGAAGTTGTGTCTATGTCAAGGTCTAAAGACGGATGCGAGGTGTTTCAAAATGGATTGGTGACTACAAGTTTATCGGATATAAAAGTTGCATCATTGGGCAAATTGCGAGAAATTGAAGACGATCAGCCTGAGTAGGAACGGAGAACCAGCGGTGTGTCGTTTGTCCTTTTTGTTAACCTCAGCTAAGAGAGTCTGAGACTTGTCAATACTAACATTAATCTGTTGCTAATTAAAATAAGTTGCTGCAGATTTTTGCAACTCTAAAAGATATAAATCAAAATGAATTTCATTCACTCAATTTACAAATCATCCCATCGTATTCACTCGCGCTGTTGCCTATAAAGGGTCTAACTCTTTGCAACCTATATCATTGCTTAACATTAATTTCATCCTATAATATATTTCAAGCCAAAATATAACATATAATCATCCCCAAATACAACGATGATATAGTATTTATTGTAGCCAAAACCACACTCAACCATCGTTTTGTTTATACGCTTTGCCTTGTCTAAAATTAATCATATAATGTATAACAGTAATACCAATCTAATCCTTGCTTGCAATCTCTTGTATACAAATGCTATTCGTATTTATTTAATTTAATCGACCCAAATTTTATATTGTTAAAATCAAGGGAGTTTGCGGGGGGGTGGGGGGTGTCCTTTTGTAATGCGGTATATATATGTAATATTTCTCAAATGATTGTGAACTTAATTTTGTAATATCACTGCCAATTCAGCTGAAAATAAAGTCAACGCAAATGCTTGCAATTTTCATTCTGTTTTATTTCTTAAATTTCACAAGTATCAGATTAGTCATAACATGATACCCTTCTGATTTTTTATGAAATAACATAGTCAAAGGAGAACCTATAGTATCCCAGTTAACCTAACATTTAGAAAAAAACTACGAGGTAGCATGTTGTTACCCCTTCCCCCCTGTATATTCTAACCAAACCATAAGCACTCCAGGTAGACTGTTCCTTCTTGTACATCGTGGTATTTTACCAACAAATCCAGCGATCTTAGAACAAGGAGTAGGTGTTACATCTTCATACATTGTTTCTAAGTGCGCCAGATCGAAGATGGATTTCTATCATGTTGTTCGTTGTTCTTCCTTTTTCTTTGATCAATAAAGCCTGGCCAACATATCGCACTATCAATCGAGCCTTTGTTCTCCCGTAGTCTGACGTCTGAGTCTCCCGGGGACGGGCAATCTACGGGAATCTTGAAGACTTCGAATCAGATTTGCGATCATTAAGAAGAAAATTTCAGACTATATCCCCATATACCCTGGATTCATCCTCAAACCTCGTATATACCCCCATTCTGTATATAAACGGCAAAGCAATCCTATCTCCCAATCTCGGTTACGTTCATTCAGTAAACGTCCCCCAGTCTTCCTCGTTATACAGGTCATCCGGGTCTTCCACGTTGTGCAACGTGATTGGACAACCCTCAGTCACGTGATCCATTACCTTTTGTTTGAGATCGCATATTTGTTGTTTTAATGCGTTCGCCAGAGTACTCAGTTCCACGTTTCTTGATCTCAAGTCTTTCACGGTTGACTCCAGAACTGCTTCCTTCTCAAGTTTCCTCTTCCGACATTTCGACGAGGCAACTCGATTTCTTTGTTTTTTTCTTTCCCGTTTCACCATCTCTTGCATCTCGAGGTCGATGGGCTGCAGCGTCGAGTTTCCGCCAAAAATTGCCGAATCGTCCAGTTTAAAAACTTGCGACGGAAACGCGGAGTTTGTCGCGAGCACGTTATTGTATGCCGTGAGCGCGCGTAACTGATTGACGGCGTCGTGATCTTCCGTAGGATGTCGTAATGGCGTCGTGTAGAGCTGCCCGGTTGTATTCGGAAGTAAAGCGTTCGTCGGATAACTTGGAAGAACATAAGTCTGCCCTAATTGTTTGTCTGTATTATTTTCTGACGAAACAGGGCAAAAGTTTTGGGTGTTTGGATATTTTTCCCTACCACTCGCAACTGTGATTACCCCATTTGCATCCGTAGTTAGGTAAAGTTGATCTGTTGAGCTTGCCGTTTCTTCCACATAGCTCGTATGAATCTGAGGTATAATAGACTTCATTGTCTCCGTGTTTTCCTGCCTATCATGAAGTTCCTGTAAGACCTCTGGTAAGCCTTTTGCGAAGCCCACTTGTTCGCTTGTTATTGCGTTTACTGGCACGTGTGCTGACGAAGGACTTTCATTCGTTCCCGATTGAAACGCAAGCAACATCTTCTCCAGGTCGGGCGAAGCAAGTTTTAAGATTCCGAAATCAGGTGAATGTATCTCTGTGGGTACGTTGTTTCGACGTATTTGCCCAAGTCTTGGATTTTGGTGTATTTCTGTATGTAAGTTCAAGTGTAAGCCTCCCTTCTCGTATGTAAGAGGCGAGTTTACTTGAGTCGGCAGTGGTTCTTCGTGATAAAAATGAGCCTCATGCATTTCCTCCATTTGTCCTGGTTCCCGAAACATACCGTAGATGAAGTCGAAGAGTGCCTTTAATATTCCCTCCTACTTCAAGGGCTGCATTGTTTTTACAAAACGCTTTTTAATCCCGGCAAAATGTCCAAAAGCATAAATTCCAAAAGCTTGATCTTTGCCATGATTTTTCACGGTTATGGGCATCACAAAACAATCCTCTTTCGGTTCAGTGAGCAGGATACTTGGTTTGTGAGGTCATTCTCTCTTTGGTTTAAACCTACTGCCAATCTCGGAGATTGGGGCAATCCTATTGGCTGGATTTCTGGTCGCTGGTTAATGATTAATGCAGGGAACATGATTTGCTCGATAAAGTGTGACAGACAGCAGGTAGAACTAAATGCTTCTCTTCTTCACTGCACGAAACGGCGATTGTTGGACAAAACGAATCTGTTGAATTCCATAATGGGATTAGTATCGTCCCATTCATCATCTTGGGAAACAACGGATCGAATAGAACGTTATGTTATTCTGTCGAAATATAGCATTTTGTGGCTTTAGGTGATTTTAAAAAGTTATATTGTAGGTTTTAGACTGCAGGTACCTATCTCTCCTCTTTTTGTAAAATTAAATTGCGATAGAGGGAATATATATTCTCTTTCTTAAACCGGTGAACTAATACTCGTCTCCTTAATGATCTTGGTCCTGTTGTTCAAAACTCGGTTACGTTAACCCCGGGTTAACGCAAATCTTTATATTAATCTTTTTAATCGCTTAGGCTTTAAGTTGGAGTCTGTTAAATCAGTAGTTATAACTCCAAAATACACGTTTCTGATTGACTATAATTTTGACACAAACTTAAGTCCCAAGTGAACTACTTTATTATGCCATCGGCCCTTAGTTCATCAACTGATAAATATGAATTCGTATTTGGTTAGCTTTTCCATCCAACAAACATCACAGTTTCTTGTTCGTTGTATTACTGCGATATAATACAGTCTTTTTAAAACTAAATTTAGGCACAGCTTTGCCAAATATCCAGTTGTTCATAGCCGTATAAAGAAACGTGACTGTCCTCGGCAGTAAGGTTACAATTGCAGGATATTTCAATGAAATCCTCGTTTTAATGGCGCGTCTAAAAGAAATTTTTAATTTGTATTTCACATTTCTGCACCGGTTGATTGCTTCGTATGTCTCCGTAGCATTTTGCCAACGTCCGGGGCGTATTTCTGTCTTTGTAACTCGAGCAATTATCACCAGACACGGCTTATCAAGAAACTGTGTCTGAGGTTTCATTCCTAAAGTGGCTTGTGAAGTCACCATCGAAAACAATTTCCTCCTCCACAAGGTGTTGTTAGTTTTATAAGGATGACATGCGCACAGCTTTGGATCAACGCCCGTATCCGAGCATATTTCATACTCATTAAACCGGGATACACGAACCAGATTATTCAAAATTATACCATGCTCACCTTGTTTCATGGGAAACGTCAATTCGACGTCAAAAATTTCCGCAGTTTTTCGGTCATTGGGTTTTGCCAGTAAAGTAAACAATAACTTCTGGTTGATGCCAACGACGACTTGGCGAGCATTTGTCACACCCGTAATTACATACCTCTGACAAGCGCCGTAACCAAAGAATTTAGACGTAGCCATCTTTCCCAGCTGAGTCTTAATATTTGTCGTGTACTGCTCCTGAATTCTGTTATTTAAGGTTCCTAGCACAAATTCAGCCGCCCACCTGACTGTACCAGTGTTGTTCGAGATTGTGTTTTCCATGCCATCGCACAGGCATAATGCAACCGAACTTATTTTCATTTCTTTGCAAGTGCGGTTTAAAGATACTGGTCTAAATAAACCTTGCAGACGTGATTTTTTCAGAGGTCCATCAAGTCCTTCCTCTTCCCTAAAAGTTTTTGAAATTGGGCCTGCGTACGGAGCTAAATGTTTCGGATTAGAACCTGCAGTGTCCTGGTTGGAATGTTCTGGGTTCGAGGCTGCGTTTTCCGTCCCACGCGAGTTCTATAATCGAGACCAATGAGTTATACAGATCTTCAACGCCTACCAAACGATTTTGGTTGAGTACCAGTGCATTCATTGCTTCTGAACCAAGCAACTTGCTGACTTCGTGTGGAATGATCATAAACAACAAAGGTTGGAAGACCTCTTCTCTTCCTTGTGTTGAATATGCTGCAAAATCAGTCGCTTTTGCGCCATGGTCAGAGGCAAAGATCGTCAAAGTGTTTCGTAAATGTGCTGCGTGTCGAAATAACTCTGAAAGACTTTCGTCATCATTGACTATACGTCTTCCATTAGTATCGTGTGATGTCAACACATGTGTATACGCTATGAACGGCTGATCGGCCATATCATTGAGCTCTGTGTACTTTTTCACATACTCCAAGAAGAATGATGCATAATGCCTCCCGGCGAAGCAAACGTTTGGAGTAATTTTCGAACTAAATGGGTTTGTCACTTTGAACTTTCTGTACACATCACAAGTTAATATGGACATACCATAATCATCAATCGTCTGTTGACGACCCGATAGTTGAACAAGCTGAACAAAATCCTTCCATCTGCTAAGCCGCTGCATCTCGTCTTTAACTGGGTCTAACTGTTTGCGTGGATCCATGAACGAACCCCACGCGTCGCGCCAGCAATGATCTTCTTGAAGCAGTGTACTATATCCTGCGTTTTTATATCGAGCAAACATCTCTTCGACTCCGTATGTACAATTGAACATGCTACCATTTGCTTTAAATTCCTCGACAGTATATTTGCAGTTGTCGATAACTTTGTTGTATTTCTGTCCTGTGAAAAGTCTCTTGAGGTTGTTAAACGTGGTAGATCCATAGCCTTGAACCTTTTCAAACTCCAGCAGAGTCGATGGAATGGTTTGATTATAAACAATATCTCTAAAAGTCGACGCAGTTTTTAAGAGAGTTCTGTAAAAGTGTGCGCGAGATAACGAGTCCTCAACTACGATGTTGATACTGAATGTTCTTCTTTTCTCCAGCCTTCGAGAAGGTTTGGCCCGTTTTAAAATAGTTGGAAAACCTAAGACCTGGGTACCTTTCCCGCATTTTAACAATGCAAACCTAGGCGCAAAGGTTGAAGACAGAATGTGTTGTTTAAGTTGCGCGTTTAAGTTGTCTGTATTATTCAATTTGCGCCATGTAACTTTTCCCATCTTTTCATTAAACAGTCCAAGTAAAATAGTTTTTCCTCTGCAATGACTATCATTGCATGATACTTGGACTTGCTCTCTTTTGTAATTTTCCCCACCAGATATGGAACATATTTTAACAGCATCTTTAATATCGCACTTCCCTGGTGTCATTGTTCCGTGAGGACCGAAATATTTGATCACGTCTTCGCAATCACGAGAAGTTGACTTTCTTCTACGACACTCTGGAACCAGGGTTTTAGAATCACTCGTTGTCGTGGGCTTTCTAATTCCTTGATATGAGCACGAGGAGTTGGCTGGGAAGGCTCTGTTGTTTGACGCATGCGTGTCATCGTGTAGCATCGCTTCAAAGGTGTGATAGGTTGGGTAATCAGAGTGGATTGGTTGAACTTGTTCGTTTGAACTACTGGGTTCTTTTACGATGTCTTCACTGTTATCTTTTTCAACAATGGAGAACCCCAAATTAATTGAGGAACGGAATGCTGTAATATAATTTTGAATTTTGTCTGTTTTGATCGTTACAATGTTAATATTATGGCAATAGTTTTAGTATTGATATACAGTATTACAGTGTGATTACTATATTTGATGTTTAAAATATAATGAGTAAAGTAAATATACTTGATGTAATCAAATTGTGATCTTCGCCATCATGTGTGAAATACTTACCGATGTTATCTTTCATGCCCTGAATAATATCCAATAATACGTAGTTTGATATAAACACGAATGTGGATAACAGAGCAGCTAAAAGTATTACCTAAAAAATAAGCATTGAAAATATATCTTCATAAGAAATCGATTGGAATGAAATTTGCCCTGTATTTTAAGTTATTCCTATAGTGTAATTTTGCAAAATATCGACATGTATGGCTCAGTGGAAAGTTATTACCCATTGTTTTATATTATCTTTGCCATCTTCAAATTTGTACCCAAGAAATGATAAACACGTTCGCTACATACTGTATAAAAATATTATTATTCGATTATTTTTGTTGAAATGCTCATTTAACTCACCAGTTTTGTGAATTTCATTTTAAACTTTCAAGTAATAATTGCTTTTATTCTCTTTGACAATAAAAGTCACATTTAAACAGTGAGCTATTTAACCTGACAGGTAGCACACTTCAATACTTGTCTGCCAGTTGGAGTTATCCAATCAGTGTAGAATTCAGCTAGATGAAATAGTAGCGAAGCCAGTCCGACGAAATTTTGCCGCTCTGCAAGTCTATTTTCGTGTTAATTGACTTTGAAAATAATCAATTTCTGAAGAATTGAATAATGGTATTACATAAAATTTGGATAGAGACCTTTAATCGTGGAGCTGGCTACGTTACTGGCTCGGTATACCGGGTGCATAAAAAAATAACTCCGCATTTAGATCAAGCTTTTTTAATATAGGCAATTGGCAGTATTGCATATTTATAAAATACATAACCTGGAGTCTATTAAATCGTAGGTATCTCCAAAACACATGTTTCTGATAGGCTAATTCTCACAAACTTTAGTCCCAAGTGAACTAGCTACTTTTTTATTCACCCGGCCCATAGTCCTTAAACTAATGAATATGAATTTGTATTTGGTTAGCTTTTCCATCCATCCATCCATCCATCCATCCATCCATCCATCCATCCATCCATCCATCCATCCATCCATCCATCCATCCATCCATCCATCCATCCATCCATCCATCCATCCATCCATCCATCCATCCATCCATCCATCAAACATACATTACAGTTTCTTGTCCGTTGTATTACTGCGATATAATACAGTCTTTTTAAAACTAAATTTAGGCACAGCTTTGCCAAATCTCCAGTTGTTTATAGCCGTATAAAGGAATGTGACTGTCTTCGGCAGTAGAGTTACAATTGCAGGATATTTCAATGAAATCCTCGTTTTAATGGCGCGTCTAAACGAAATTCTTAATTTGTATTTCACATTTTTGCACCGGTTGATTGCTTCGTATGTCTCCGTGGCATTTTGCCAACGTCCAGGGCGTATTTGTATCGTTTTAACCCGAGCAATTATCACAAGACACGGCTTATCAAGAAACTGTGTCTGAGGTTTCATTCCTAAAGTGGCTTGTGAAGTCACCATCGAAAACAATTTCCTCCTCCACAAGGTGTTGTTAGTTTTATAAGGATGACATGCGCACAGCTTTGGATCAACGCCCGTATCCGAGCACATTTCATACTCATTAAACCGGGATACACGAACCAGATTATTCAAAATTATACCATGCTCACCTATTTTCATGGGAAACGTCAATTCGACGTCAAAAATTTCCGCAGTCTTTCGGTCAATGGGTTTTGCCAGTAAAGTGAACAATAGCTTTTGGTTGATGCCAACGACGACTTGCCGCGCATTTGTCACACCCGTAATTACATACCTCTGACAAGCGCCGTAACCAAAGAATTTAGACGTAGCCATCTTTCCCAGCTGAGTCTTCAGAGTTGTTGTGTACTGTTCCTGAATTCTGTTATTTAAGGTTCCCAGCACAAACTCAGCCGCCCACCTGACTGTACCAGTGTCGTTCGAGATCGTGTTTTCCATGCCATCGCACAGGCATAATGCAACCGAACTTATTTTCATTTCTTTGCAAGTGCGGTTTAAAAATACTGGTCTAAATAAACCTTGCAGACGTGATTTTATCAGAGGTCCATCAAGTCCTTCCTCTTCCCTAAAAGTTTTTGAAATTGGGTCAGCGAACGCAGCTAAATGTTTCGGATTAGAACCTGCAGTGTCCTGGTTGGAATGTTCTGGGTTCGAGGCTGCATTTTCCGTCTGTTTTTTCACGCGAGGTTCTATAATCGAGACCAATGAGTTGTACAGATCTTCAACGCCTACCAAACGATTTTGATTGAGCACCAATGCATTCATTGCTTCTGAACCAAGCAACTTGCTGACTTCGTGTGGAATGATCATAAACAACAAAGGTTGGAAGACCTCTTCTCTTCCTTGTGTTGAATATGCTGCAAAATTAATCACTTTTCCGCCATGGTCTGAGGCAAAGATCGTCAAAGTGTTTCGTAAATGTGCTGCGTGTCGAAATAACTCTGAAAGACTTTCGTCATCATTGACTATACGTCTTCCATTAGTATCGTGTGATGTCAACACATGTGTATACGCTATGAACGGCTGATCGGCCATATCATTGAGCTCTGTGTACTTTTTCACATACTCCAAGAAGAATGATGCATAATGCCTCCCGGCGAAGCAAACGTTTGGAACAGTTTTCGAATTATAAGGGTTTGTCACTTTAAACTTTCTGTAAACATCACAAGTTAATATAGACATCCCATAATCATCAACCACCTTTCCACGACCCGATAGTTGAACAAGCTGAACAAAATCCTTCCATCTGCTAAGCCGCTCCATCTTGCTCCTAACTGGACCTATGTTTTCGCGTGGATCCATGAACGAACCCCACGAGTCATACCAACAGTTATCTTCTTGAAGCAGTGTACTATATCCAGCGTTTTTATATCGAGCAAACATCTCTTCGATTCCATGCGTACAGTTAAACGTGCTACCATTTGCTTTAAATTCCTCGAGAGTATATTTGCAGTTCTTTTTAACGTGTAAGTATTTTCGTCCTGCAAACAGTCTCTGAAGGTTTTTATATGTGTTTGTTTCATAGCCTTGAACCTTTTCAAACTCCAGGAGGGTCGATGGAATTGTTTGATTATAAACAATATCTCTAAAAGTCGACGCAGTTTTTAAGAGAGTTCTGTAAAAGTGCGCGCGAGATAACGAGTCCTCAACTACGACGTTGATATTGAATGGTCTTCTCTTCTTCAGCCTTCGAGAAGGTTTAACCCGTTTTAAAATAGTTGGAAAACTTAAGACCTGGGTACCTTTCCCGCATTTTAACAATGCAAATCCGGGCCCAAAGGTTGAAGACAGAATGTGTTGTTTAAGTTGCGCATTTAAGTCGTCTGTATCATTCAATTTGCGCCATGTAACTTTTCCCATCTTTTCATTAAACAGTCCAAGTAAAATAGTTTTTCCTCTGCAGTGACTATCATTGCATGATACTTGGACTTGCTCTCTTTTGTAATTTTCCCCACCAGATATGGAACATATTTTAACAGCATCTTCAATATCGCACTTCCCTGGTGTCATTGTTCCGTGAGGACCGAAATATTTGATCACGTCTTCGCAATCACGAGAAGTTGACTTTCTTCTACGACACTCTGGAACCAGGGTTTTAGAATCACTCGTTTCCCTTGGCTTTCTTATTCCCCGATATGGGCACGAAGAGTATGCTGGAAAGGCTCTGTTGTTTGACTCATGCGTGTCGTCGTGTAGCATTGCCTCAAAAGTGTGATAGGTTGGGTAATCAGAGTGGATTGGTTGAACTTGCTCGTTTGAACTACTGGGTTCTTTTACGATGTCTTCACTGTCATCTTTTTCAACAATGGAGAGCCTCAAATTAATTGAGGAACGGAATGCTGTAACATAATTTTGAATTTTTTTCTAATTGATATTATCCAATATTTTCAGTATTGATATACTAATGCGTGATTCCTATATTTACTGTCTAAAATCTAATCAATAAAGTAAATATAATTGATGTAATCAATATCTTCGCTCTGCGTGAAATAATTACCGATATTTCCTTTCATTCTCAGAATAATATCCAACATTTTGTAGTTAAATATAAACACGAATGTGGCAGACAGAGCAACTAAAATTATGACCTAAAAATAATAAACATTGCATTGATATCTTCATAATAAATCGATTAGATATCTACTGTTTATTATAGGTTAATTCTAGTGTAATTTTGCAAGATATCGTCATATAGGGCTGAGTGAAAAGTTACAAAAACATTACTTCGAAAAACGACAACTTGTAAACTCAAGATATGAGCTATAACAACAAGACAAGAATTTTAAAGTGATATATTTCGACTTTATTTCAAAGTCATTTTTAAACCATTGTCATTCTGGTTTGACAATGACTTTGAAATAAAGTCGAAATATCGCTTTAAAATTCTTGTCTTGTTGTTATAGCTCATAATTATCTTGAGTTTACAAGATGTTATTTTCGGAGTAATGTTTTCACCTATATTTTATCAAATTATCAGTGGAAAGTTATTACCCATTGTTTATTATCTTTGCCATCTTCAAATTTGTGCCCAAGAAATAATAAACACATTCGCTACATGCTTTATAAAAATGTTATTATTTAATTATTTTTGTGAAATGCTCTTATAACTCACCAGTTTTGCGAATTTCATCTTAAACTTTTCGATTAGTAGTTGCTTTCATCCTCTTTGACAATAAAGGTCACATTTAAACAGATATAACCTGACAGGTAGCACACTTCAATACTTGTCTACCAGTTGGGTTTATCCAATCAGTGTAGAATTCAGCTAGATGAAATAGTAGCGAAGCCAGTCCGACAAAATTGTGTCGCTGTGCAAGTATATTTTCGTGTTAATTGACTTTGAAAATATATTAATTTCTGAAGAATTGAATAATGGTATAACTTTTAATTTGCATAGAGACACTTAATCGTCGAGCTGGCTACTTTACTGGCTCGATATACCGGGGGCCGGTTGTATGAAACCCGTTTATAGCTGAAACGACGGATAAGTCAAAATTAAATAACACTTTTACATCTCTTTTGAATGAATCAACTTGAATATTATGCACTGAATATGTAGTTGAAACAGTATCGTTGTATTAGGGTTAAAAACATTTTGTTTGCTTCTTGAATAGAACGATAGACTTGATTTCTATTTTGAACTTAACCAGCGTTTAAGCTAAATGAGCTTGATACAACTGGTCCGAGTCTTTAAGAAATAACTTCCCATTGAGATCATGCTTTTTTAATAATCGTTGTTGTGCATGTTTATAAAATACATAACTTAGAGTCTGTTAAATCGTAGTTAATTCCAAAATGCTCGTTTCTGATTGTCCAGAAACTGATAAATATGAATTTGTATTTTTTAGCTTTTCCATCCAACAAACATCACAGTTTCTTCTTCGTTGTATTACTGCGATATAATACAGTCTTTTTAAAACTAAATTTAGGCACAGCTTTGCCAAATATCCAGTTGTTTATAGCCGTATAAAGAAACGTGACTGTCTTCGGCAGTAAGGTTACAATTGCAGGATATTTCAATGAAATCCTCATTTTATAGATGCGTTTAAAAGAAATTTTTAATTTGTATTTCACATTTCTGCACCGGTTGATTGCTTCGTATGTCTCCGTGGCATTTTGCCAACGTCCGGGGCGTATTTCTGTCTTTGTAACTCGAGCAATTATCAAAAGACACGGCTTATCAAGAAACTGTGTCTGAGGTTTCATTCCCAAAATGGCTTGTGAAGTCACCATCGAAAACAATTTCCTCCTCCACAAGGTGTTGTTAGTTTTATAAGGATGACATGCGCACAGCTTTGGATCAACGCCCGTATCCGAGCATATTTCATACTCATTAAACCGGGATACACGAACCAGATTATTCAAAATTATACCATGTTCACCTTGTTTCATGGGAAACGTCAATTCGACGTCAAAAATTTCCGCAGTTTTTCGGTCATTGGGTTTTGCCAGCAAAGTGAACAATAACTTCTGGTTGATGCCAACGACGACTTGGCGAGCATTTGTCACAACCGTGGCTACGTACCGCTGACATGCGCCGTAACCAAAGAATTTAGACGTAGCCATCTTTCCCAGCTGAGACTTCAGATTTGTCGTGTACTGTTTCTGAATTCTGTTATTTAAGGTTCCTAGCGCAAATTCAGCCGCCCACCTGACTGCGTCAGTGTCGTTCGAGATTGTGTTTTCCATGCCATCGCACAGGCATAATGCAACCGAACTTATTTTCATTTCTTTGCAAGTGCGGTTTAAAAATACTGGTCTAAATAAACCTTGCAGATGTGATTTTATCTGAGGTCCATCAAGCCCTTCCTCTTCCCTAGACGTTTTTGAAATTGGGTCAGCGAACGCAACCGAATGCTTCGGATTAGAACCTGCAGTGTTCTGGTTGGAATGATTTGGGTTCGAGGCTAAGCTTTCAGCCCACACGCGAAGTTCTATAATCGAGACCAATGAGTTATACAGATCTTCAACGCCTACCAAACGATTTTGATTGAGTACCAATGCATTCATTGCTTCTGAACCAAGCAACTTGCTGACTTCGTGTGGAATGATCATAAACAACAAAGGTTGGAAGACCTCTTCTCTTCCTTGTGTTGAATATGCTGCAAAATCAGTCGCTTTTGCGCCATGGTCGGAGGCAAAGATCGTCAAAGTGTTTCGTAAATGTGCTGCGTGTCGAAATAACTCTGAGAGGCTTTCGTCATCATTGACTATACGTCTTCCATTAGTATCGTGTGATGTCAACACATGTGTATACGCTATGAACGGCTGATCGGCTATATCATTGAGCTCTGTGTACTTTTTCACATACTCCAAGAAGAATGATGCATAATGCCTCCCGGCGAAGCAAACGTTTGGAATAATTTTCGAACTAAATGGGTTTGTCACTTTGAACTCTCTGTACACATCACAAGTTAATATGGACATACCATAATCATCAATCGCCTGTTGACGACCCGATAATTGAACAAGCTGAACAAAATCCTTCCATCTGCTAAGCCGCTGCATCTCGTCTGTAACTGGGTCTAACTGTTTGCGTGGATCCATGAAAGAACCCCACGCGTCGTGCCAACAATGATCCTCTTGAAGCAGTGTACTATATCCAGCGTTTTTATATCGTGCAAACATCTCTTCGACTGCATATGTACAGTTGAACATGCTACCATTTGCTTTAAATTCCTCGACAGTATATTTGCAGTTCTCTCCAACGTCTAAGTATTTTCGTCCTGCAAACAGTCTTTGAAGGCTTTGATATGTTTTTGCTGCATAGCTTTGAACTTTTTGAAACTCCAGCAGGGTCGATGGAATTGTTTGATTATAAACAATATCCCTGAAAGTCGACGCAGTTTTTAAAAGAGTTCTGTAAAAATGCGCGCGAGATAACGAATCCTCAACTACGATGTTGATATTGAATGGTCTTCTCTTCTCCAGTCTTTGAGAAGGTTTGGCCCGTTTTAAAATAGTTGGAAAACCTAAGACCTGGGTACCTTCCCCGCATTTTAACAATGCAAACCCAGGCCCAAAGGTTGAAGACAAAATGTGTTGTTTAAGTTGCGCGTTTAAGTTGTCTGTATTATTCAATTTGCGCCATGTAACGTTTCCAATTTGATCATTAAATATTCCAAGAAAAATTGTGTTTCCTCTGCAGTGACTATCATTGCATGATACTTGGACTTCCTCTCTTTTGTAATTTTCCCCACCAGATATGGAACATATTTTAACAGCATTTTTTGTGTTACACTTGCCTGGTGTCATTGTTCCGTGAGGACCGAAATATTTGATCACGTCTTCGCAATCATGAGAAGTTGACTTTCTTCTCCGACACTCCTGGAACTAGGGTTTTAGAATCACTCGTTGTCCTTGGCTTTCTAATTCCGCGATATGGGCACGAAGAGTATGCTGGGAAGGCTCTGTTGTTTGACGCATGCGTGTCATCGTGTAGCATTGCTTCAAAGGTGTGATAGGTTGGGTAATCAGAGTGGCTTTGTTGAACCTGCTCGTTTGAACGTTCGTTTACGATGTCTCCAGTGTCATCGTTTTTTACAATGGATAGCCTCAAATCAATTGACCCTGGAGCCTCTTGGAATAGCATTTTGAATGGGGAACGGAATGCTGTAACAAAATGTTAAGTTCTTAGTTTTCGTAATGAATATTACAATATAAGTATTATCAAATATATACCGATTCGTGATTAATGCATTGAACATCTACAATATAATCAATAAAGTAAAGATATTCGATGTAATCAATATCGTGATCCTCACCATTATGTGTGAAATACTTACCAATTCTTTCTTTCATCACAAGAATAATATCCAGCATTTCGTAGTTAAATATAAACACGAATGCTGATAAAACAGCAGCAAAAATCATGAACTGAAATAAAAAATATTGATCAATACAAATATATCTACATAATAAATTGATTGAGATAAATTCTACCTTTGTATTATAGTTTGATTCTACTGTAATTTTTCGAAATATATATCACTGATATATTTATGCATGGGGCGAGAAAGTCATTACCAAGTTTATTGTTTATTATTTTTGCTGTCTTAAATTTAGTGCTCAAGAAATGATAAACACCTTCGCTGTTTACTGTTAAAAATATTATTTTGAACTTCTAATTTAACTCACCAGTTTTGCAAATTTCATCATAAACCTTTAAAAGAACAGTTGTTTTCATCGACATAAAAGATCAGATTTAGACATCGAGTTATATAACCTGCCAGGTAACATGTTTTAAAACTTGTGTACCAGTTGAATTGATCCAATCAGTGTAGAACTCAGCTATCTGAATACAATTCCGGATGTTGATAGCCGACCGGAGGTGCGTAGCACCCAGTTGGTATATATACGACAAAAGCGAGTGGTAGAATTGTTTTATAATTGCGTTCGACGAAAGAGAACGCTTCGTAGCCGTGTCATATCGAGATTCGCGATGTCAGATTTGCCTTGTTTTGATGTGTCGTCATAGTAACTGGAGACCATGTGCTCGCTCTATTTTGACATTTTGTTGTTAATTTTTATAGCACATGAGCCATCACTGTTGTTAAATTACTCATTTTGCGGGTAACCTTTTGAATCAAATACGCTGTGAGCCTGTGACGTTATAATGTTAACATTTTTGTTAATGATCGTTAACCAAAATCAACACATTCCGAACGCAAATCACTAATCTGTGATTACTGCTGGTTTAGCTACTTTAAATACCATTTAATTAAATATCAGTGCGTTAAAATACTCTTTTTAAACCTAAATACTGGTTTAGCTCTGTCATTTTTAAGACTGCTTTTAGTCGTGAAAAGGAATGTGACTGTCTTAGGCAGTAGAGTGACATATGCAGGATATTTTAATGAAATCCGAGTGGTATAAGCTTCTTTGAAGAAAATTGTTAAATTGTATGTCACATTTGAACACCGGTTGATCGCTTCGTAAGTCCTAATTTTACTTGGCCAGCGTTCACCAATATTTTGCAATTTAACCAAAAAACAACCAGGAGACACGGTTTTCGAAGGACGTGTTCGAGGTTTCAAACCGAATTTCGCTTGTGAAATCATCTTCAAAAATAACCTCTTCCTCCACAACGTGTTGTTTGTGTTGTCTGGATGACACGCGCAAAGCTTTGGATCAACGCCCGTATCCGAGCACGTTTCGTACTCATTAAACCGCGTCACACGGACCAGGTTGCTCAAAGTTAGGCCAGGTTCGGTTTTTTTTATAGGAAACGTCAATTCGATGTCAAAAATTTCCGCAGTCTTTCGGTCGATGGGTTTTGCCAGTAAAGTGAACAATAGCTTTTGGTCGATGCCGACGACCACGTGCCGCGCATTCTTCACACCTGTGGCTACGTACCGCTGACATGCGCCGTAACCAAAGAAGTCTGACGTAGCCATTCTTCCTTGTTTAGACTTTGTGTACTGTTCCTGAATTCTGTTATTTAAGGTTCCCACAGCAAATTCAGCCGCCCATATAGCCAATGGAGAATTGCTCGACACAGTTTTATCCATACCATCGCACAGGCATAATGCAATTGGAATTATTTTCATTTCCTCGCAAGTGCGGTTCAAAGGTACCGGTTTAAACAAACCTCGCAGTTGTGATTTCATAAGAGGACCATCAAGTCCTTCGTCTTCTTCCGCAATTTGAGGAATTGGGCCTGGGTACGGAGCCAAATGTTTTGCGTTAGGATCTGTGTCCAGGTTGGAGTTTTCTGGATTAAAGGCTGCGTTTTCCGCCTGTTTTTTCACGCGAGGTTCTATAATCGAGACCAATGAATTGTACAATCTTCAACGCCTACCAAACGATTTTGGTTGAGCACCAATGCATTCATTGCTTCTGAACCAAGCAACTTGCTGACTTTGTGTGGAATGATCATAAACAACAAAGGTTGGAAGACCTCTTCTCTTCCTTGTGTTGAATATGCTGAAAAATCAGTCCCTTTTGCGCCATGGTCTGAGGCAAAGATCGTCAAAGTGTTTCGTAAATGTGCTGCGTGTCGAAATAACTCTGAAGACTTTCGTCATCATTGACTATACGTCTTCCATTAGTATCGTGTGATGTCAACACATGTGTATACGCTATGAACGGCTGATCGGCCATATCATTGAGCTCTGTGTACTTTTTTACATACTCCAAGAAGAATGATGCATAATACCTCCGGGCGAAGCAAACGTTTGGAACAGTTTTCGAACTGTATGGGTTTGTCACTTTAAACTCTCCATACACATCACAAGATAATATGGACATCCCATAATCATCAACCACCTTTCCACGACCCGATAGTTGAACAAGCTGAACAAAATCCTTCCATCTGCTAAGCCGCTCCATGTCGTTTTTAATTGGGTCTAAGAATCTGCGTGGATCCATGAGCGAGCCCCACGCGTCGCGCCAACAGCTATCCTCTTGAAGCAGTGTGCTATATCCAGCGTTTTTATATCGAGCAAACATCTCTTCGACTCCATATGTACAATTGAACATGCTAGCATTTGCTTTAAATTCCTCGACAGTATATTTGCAGTTGTCGATAACTTGGTTGTATTTCTGTCCTGTGAAAAGTCTCTTGAGGTTGTTAAACGTGGTAGACCCATAAGCTTGAACTTTTTCAAACTCCAGCAGGGTCGATGGAATTGTTTGATTAGAAACAATATCTCTGAAAGTCGACGCAGTTTTCAAGAGAGTTCTGTAAAAGTGCGCGCGAGATAACGAGTCTTCAAGTACGATGTTGATATTGAATGGTCCTCTCTTCTTCAGCCTTTGAAAAGGTTTGGCCCGTTTTAAAATATTTGGAAAACTTAAGACCTGGGTACCTTCCCCGCATTTTAACAATGCAAATCCGGGCCCAAAGGTTGAAGACAGAATGTGTTGTTTAAGTTGCGCATTTAAGTTGTCTGTATCATTCAATTTGCGCCATGTAACTTTTCCCATCTGATCATTAAACAGTCCAAGTAAAATAGTTTTTCCTCTGCAGTGACTATCATTGCATGATACCTGGACTTGCTCTCTTTTGTAATTTTCCCCACCAGATATGGAACATATTTTAACAGCATTACTTTTGTTATTACACTTGCCTGGTGTCATTGTTCCGTGAGGACCGAAATATTTGATCGCGTCTTTGCAATCACGAGAAGTTGACTTTCTTCTACGACACTCTGGAACCAGGGTTTTAGAATCGCTCGTTGTCATGGGCTTTCTAATTCCCCGATATGGGCACGAAGAGTATGCTGGGAAGGCTCTGTTGTTTGACGCATGCGTGTCATCGTGTAGCATTGCTTCAAAGGTGTGATAGGTTGGGTAATCAAAGTGGATTGGTTGAACTTGCTCGTTTAAACGTTCGTTTACGATGTCTCCAGTGTCATCTTTTTTTAGAATGGATAGGGTCAAATCAATTGACCCTGGAGCCTCTTGGAAAAGTATTTTGAATGGAGAACGGAATGCTGTAACACAAGTTAAATTTTTTTTATGATTATTACAGTATTAACATTAGGGAATATTTTCAGTATTAATACTAACGCGTGATTACTATATTTAATGTCTAAAATATGATCAATAAAGTAAATATAATCGATGTAATCAATATTGTGAGGATTGCGATCGTGTGTGAAATACTTACCTATGTTTTCTTTCACTCTCAGAATAATATCCAACATTTCGTAGTTAAATATAAACACGAATGTGGCAGACAGAGCAGCTAAAATTATGACCTAAAAAATAATAAACATTGCATTGATATCTTCATAATAAATCGATTAGAATGATATCTACCGTTTATTGTAGGTTAATCCTAGTGTAATTTGCAAAATATCGACATATAGGGCTCAGTGGAAAGTTATTACCCATTGTTTATCATTAACTTTGCCATCCTCAAATTTCTGCCCAAGAAATGATAAACACGTTCGCTACATACTGTATGAAAGTATTATTATTCAGGTATTTTCCTTGGACTGTTAAATAAACTCACCAGTTTTGCGAATTTCATCTTAACTTTTAACTTATAATTGCTTTCATCTCCATAAAATGTCAGAAATTGACTCAGAGTTATTATATAACCTGCCAGGTGACATTTGGTAAAACTTGTGTACCAGTTCATTTATCCAATCAGTGTTGAATTCAGCTATCCGAATCCGAATACAAGTCCGGATATGTGTAAAAACGTTTGATTTGTAAATAAATGAATAATAGTAATAACTAAAATTTGCAGTCTAAGAGTACCAGATAAATGGAATGAAAATTGTCAAATTATTGATCGCCATATCAGCTCATATCCCGAGGTTGATCAAAGACATGGTTCAACGGATTACTGAACAAAGTGTCTTTGTATTTGAAGTTCTCATTTAGCTACACGGCAAACGCAAAATATCAATGTAGTAAAAATCAAACGTCTCACTTTATATTTTATGCATCCGTTGGTTAGAAAAATAAAAAGGCATCCAAATTCTAACAAAAGCTTGATTTCAAAAAGGGGTAGTACAGTGGGTCTAAAAAAACGCAAAAACGTTTGAAAGCACCTATTGCATGCGGTTAATTCGATATCATTCGATATCTTTGTCAACACGAGAAATGAATTCCATATTTCAAAGCATCCATGCATTATTCTCTTTATTATAAAATAAAAAACTGGGTTTTTTGAAGAAGTTTTTTATCCTCCTTCCTGATTCCAGATCGGTGGATCAAACACGATAATAGAACATGTGTTATTATCATGAATAACCGCACATGTGTTATTATCGCTTTTCAAAATGGCGGATTCGTCAATAAAACACTGCATATTAATGATATTATATGATAAAAAATAATATGACATTTAATATCGTTGAATAAAAATAATATAACATTCGTTAATGTATATATAATCTGGGTGATAGTTACTTTCATTGTGTAAACTAGAGTTGCGATGATTGCTATGTATTATATACTTGCAATGGTGCCGTAAACTTATTAACCTCAATTCGTGTGTCCTATCAGTGCGTTAAAATACTCTTCATGTACCTAAATACTGGTATAGTTTGGTCATTTTTAAGATCGTTTTTAGTCGTGAAAAGGAATGTGACTGTCTTAGGCAGTAGGGTAACATATGCAGGATATTTTAATGAAATCCGAGTGGTATGAGCTTCTTTGAAGAAAATTGTTAAATTGTATTTCACATTTGAACACCGGTTGATCGCTTCGTAAGTCCTAATTTTACTTGGCCAGCGTTCACCAATATTTTGCAATTTAACCCAAAAAACAACCAGGAGACACGGTTTTCGAAGGAAACGTGTTCGAGGTTTCAAACCGAATTTTGCTTGTGAAATCATCTTCGAAAATAATCTCTTCCTCCACAACGTGTTGTTTGTGTTGTCTGGATGACATGCGCAGAGCTTTGGTTCAACGCCCGTATCCGAGCACGTTTCGTACTCATTAAACCGCGTCACACGGACCAGGTTGCTCAAAGTTAGGCCAGGTTCGTTTTTTTTTATAGGAAAGGTCAATTCGATGTCAAAAATTTCCGCAGTCTCTCGGTCGATGGGTTTTGCCAGTAAAGTGAACAATAGTTTTTGGTCGATGCCGACGACCACGTGCCTTGCATTCGTCACACCCGTGGCTACGTACCGCTGACATGCGCCGTAACCAAAGAATTCTGACGTAGCCATTCTTCCTAGTTTAGTCTTTGTGTACTGTTCCTGAATTCTGTTATTTAAGGTTCCCACAGAAAATTCAGCCGCCCATGTAGCCAATGGAGAATTGCTCGGTACGGTTTTATCCATACCATCGCACAGGCATAATGCAATTGGGAGTATTTTCATTTCCTCGCAAATGCGGTTTAAGGGTACCGGTTTAAACAAACCTCGCAGTTGTGATTTCATAAGAGGACCATCAAGTCCTTCGTCTTCTTCCGCAATTTGAGGAATTGGGCCTGCGTACGCAGCTAAATGTTCCGGATTAGAACCTGCAGTGTCCTGGTTGGAATGTTCTGGGTTCGAGGCTGCGTTTTCCGTCTGTTTTTTCACGCGAGGTTCTATAATCGAGACCAATGAATTGTACAGATCTTCAACGCCTACCAAACGATTTTGGTTGAGCACCAATGCATTCATTGCTTCTGAACCAAGCAACTTGCTGACTTCGTGTGGAATGATCATAAACAACAAAGGTTGGAAGACCTCTTCTCTTCCTTGTGTTGAATATGCTGAAAAATCAGTCGCTTTTGAGCCATGGTCTGAGGCAAAGATCGTCAAAGTGTTTCGTAAATGTGCTGCGTGTCGAAATAACTCTGACAGACTTTCGTCATCATTGACTATACGTCTTCCATTAGTATCGTGTGATGTCAACACATGTGTATACGCTATGAACGGCTGATCGGCCATATCATTGAGCTCTGTGTACTTTTTCACATACTCCAAGAAGAATGATGCATAATACCTCCCGGCGAAGCAAACGTTTGGAACAGTTTTCGAACTGAATGGGTTTGTCACTCTTAACCTTCTATACGCATCACAAGTTAATATGGACATACCATAATCATCAACCACCTTTCCACGACCCGATAGTTGAACAAGCTGAACAAAATCCTTCCATCTGCTAAGCCGCTCCATCTTGTTCTTAATTGGGTCTAAGAATCTGCGTGGATCCATGAACGAACCCCACGCGTCGCGCCAACAATGATCCTCTTGAAGCAGTGTACTATATCCAGCGTTTTTATATCGAGCAAACATCTCTTCGACTCCATATGTACAGTTAGACATTCTACCATTTGCTTTAAATTCCTCGACAGTATATTTGCAGTTGTTGATAACTTGGTTGTATTTCTGTCCTGTGAAAAGTCTCTTGAGGTTGTTAAACGTGGTAGATCCATAGGCTTGAACTTTTTCAAACTCCAGCAGGGTCGACGGAATTGTTTGATTATAAACAATATCTCTGAAAGTTGACGCAGTTTTTAACAGAGTTCTGTAAAAGTGCGCGCGAGATAACGAGTCTTCAAGGACGATGTTTATATTGAATGGTCTTCTCTTCTTCAGCCTTTGAAAAGGTTTGGCCCGTTTTAAAATATTTGGGAAACTTAAGACCTGGGTACCTTCCCCGCATTTTAACAATGCAAACCCAGGCGCAAAGGCTGAGGTCAGAATGTGGTGTTGAAGTCGCGCACCTAAAGCATCTGTATTACTCAATCTGCGCCATGCAACTTTTCCTATCTGTTCATTAAACAGTCCAAGTAAAATTGTTTTTCCTCTGCAGTGACTATCATTGCATGATACTTGGACTTGCTCTCTTTTGTAATTTTCCCCACCAGATATGGAACATATTTTAATGGATTTTTTAGTGTCACACTTCCCTGGGGTCATTGTTCCGTGAGGACCGAAATATTTGATCACGTCTTCGCAATCACGAAGAGTTGACTTTCTTCTACGACACTCTGGAACCAGGGTTTTAGAATAACTCGTTGTCATGGGCTTTCTAATTCCTTGATATGAGCACGAGGAGTTGGCTGGGAAGGCTCTGTTGTTTGACGCATGCGTGTCATCGTGTAGCATCGCTTCAAAGGTGTGATAGGTTGGGTAATCAGAGTGGATTGGTTGATCTTTTATCTCTTCTCTATTGACATCTTCATTTGCATCCTTTTTAACTATGAAAGGCTTCGCATCAGTTGACTCTAGCGTTTTTTTGTAAAATACATTCAATGAGGAAGGGATTCCTACAAAACAACAACGATTACAATTATGAAAATAATCACCATTACAATCTTACTTAAATTACATCTTAATTAACAAATCTTACTTAAATAATCACAATTATAATCTTTCTCGTATAAATTCGTTTATAATTGATAATTTATTGATGTGTATAGATACGTGATCAATTTGATATGGTTCTAATCAATAAATATCATCAATAGCGTAATGGTTGTGATGTATTTTATTTTCCCGTATTACTTACCAGTCCTTTTTCTCACCACAAAGATAATACTTAGCATTTCGTAGTTGAATATAAAAATGTACGTACATAGCAAAGCAGCCAAAAACATGAACTAAAAAACAAAATTACAGTCACATACACGTAGCTTGATATTTCACGCGATTGAAATGTGGTAGTATGATTTGGGTGGAGGGAACATGCGCATATGAAATGGTGTGGATACGCAATAACATTTGATAAAGGGTTAAGAGCATTGAGATGAATAAACCTCAATTTTATTCATCTCAACGGTTAAGAGTCATTTCAGTGAAGTTGAGAGTATAGTGAGGTTCATTTGTCACAGACATGTGATAAGGGGAGGTGAAGAAAAACTATAGTTATCGTGCAGTAATACTATATGAAGGGATAAGAAGAAGATGTGATCCAGTAGACATTCCAGTGAAAATGAGTGTGTAGGGAAGTTCATTTGTCATAGACATGTGATAAGGGGAGGTGAAGAAAAACTAGTTACATGCAGACTGTAATACTACATGAAGGGATAAGAAGAAGATGTGAGGTTGTAGACATCGCATTGAAGATGAAAGTATATAGCAAGGTTAATTTTTCATAGATATTTGATAAGGAGAGATGAAGGAAAACTGGTCATTAGGCTAGATCTGAGGTAAAAGTGGCGAAGCTGAGGGAACAAGTTTAAACACAAACACCTATGAAGAGATGAAAGAAAGTTCACCTGGAGTGCTATGAAATCAGTTGATTGAAAGAACATGGAAGAGGTGGTAAAAGAAAGTTTGTAAAGGATAATGTTGAGTGAGGCAGTGAATTAAGAAAACATAGGTAAAGCGGGGAAACGTATATTAATAGAAAGTACGCTAGCTGTACTGGGTGTATAAAGAAATGCAACCTTGATAATTCTCAACGGGCCCACGATCTTAGTTTGTTATTAAAAAGAAGCGATTATTTATAAATATTTAGTCTTGCTTTTTTTATACCCTGTATAATCCTTGAGAAATTATTCTATTATTACCGCATCAGAGCAGTTAATTCCTCTAAATACATGCAATATACCTTGTTTAAACGAAAATATAGAGACGTCGTGATTGTTTTAAATTATATTTTGAAACAGTCAAACAGTATATACGTTACATTGCATGTATCAGAAACAAGTTTATTGCCATTAAAAGTCACGCTCGTAAACAAAATGTCATTCGCTAACGTGCATGCTCATTGATGCACGAGCTCGTCTACTTACTAATATCAGTACTTACCAATTTAAAGAGTTTCATTATTTGTTAAATTATTTGACTGCGGTACCGAACATATGAAATATCTCGCTGTATATGACTACGTTTATATCTATGTATACATAATCGCGAATTTCTTTTGCCTTTGTTCTACAACCTGTCATTATATATCAACCCACTGATGGGCCTGATTCATTTTGTTGCCGGTATACCTGTTTTTTAAATCAGTTGCATGCGATTGTCAATGTTAGCTTTAGAGAACCTTATATATAACCTTAATGATAAACTTGCTTTAGTGCTGGTCCCGATAAAGTTGCTGCTCACTTACATGTATAGAGAGATCAATTTTTCAGTGAGGTGGGCTCAATGATTAAAAAGTTTTCGCATTTATAGTGGCACTGCTCTAGAAAGATATTCAGTCTTCTTGTACGTCTTACTGCAATGGCAATCGCCAATTCTTAGGAAAAGGCAGGCTTCAGCTTTTGGGTGACTACGGAAGAGATTCTGGCAATCATAAACAAGCATTGAATAAATGAATGAATGTGGTTGAAAAATAATCAAGGCCGCGCCTCAGCTACTCCGTCCAGTACGAAGGCTAGTCGGGCCGCTATAAATTCTTCTTATCACACGAAACCAAATCAATTTTACACTGAAAAACTTCAATCCAATCCAATTCAGAGTTGCCCGCAGACAGCCGAGGTCGATCTTGGATAGGACGATTCCCTGATAGTTTATCAGCGATGAAACGTCTGTTGTTTTTCCTTTTCTTGTACTCTGCCCTTGTTTGCGGTCAAGTCAGAGCGGCATAAAGTTTAATTATGTATGCTTATATATACTAGTAATCTAGTATAAAGTGGTATCCTGGGTTTAAGCGTAGACAATCTAAAAGAGGATTGTCTATGGTTTAAGCTAGGCGCACACGACGCGATTTTCGTCTAAATCCTTGCGTGTGTGATGTCATTTTTAAGCGATTTCAGTCGACAGACTGCAATCGGAAAACATCAAAACAGTTTGATATTTGCCAATTAAAATCGGTCGACTAAAATCCTACGACAAAAATCTCGTCTTGTAGCGAGGATCGGTTTTGTTGAATGTACGTTAAAACGATGTTTTTTGGTATAACCTTGAAGGGAATTTAATTTCTCGAAATCGGGTGAATTTGGCAAACATTTGCGCATGTCATAGTAAATTCTACGAAAAACCGCCTTTATTCGCGCATATTCAACACAGGTGGTGTCAAGACGCGTCGTATTTCATCGCTTGTAAACAATCGTCTTTAGACGGTTTAAGAAGCGATGGATCGTATATTATTTTATGGCGTTTTGGCGCTTATATTCCTTGCTAAAGAATCACATCACACACACTATCCGACAATCTTTTGGACTCCAACGAACTGCAAGTAAGTTGCCGTAAATGTTATCATAATGGCAATGTTTAAGAGACGCCATCAGGCAATATCTACTGTTGTTAGTTGTTACTACGGTAAATCACTGATACTCTAGTATTTCAATATTGTTTTATAATATTATACACATTGAGTTCACTCACAGTTGTTTCACTTACAGTAAGCACGTATATTTCCTGTTTTTTCTCATACTAATTTTTCCCATATTATATTACTGTGTGTATTAAAGACATGAAATAGCTTTTACATCAACTAGACAACTACGTTTCACTTTAAGATTCTGAAGTGGAAAGTCCGATATTTGTGATAAACGAACTTGGAGTTGTTAAGATAGAACTCTCCTCTAAGTTCAGTACACTTAAAGGTTTATACAAACTTGAGATGTACTACTCTTATGGTTTTATTTAAGACAGAAATCATTTTAAAAACAGACCACCATTTTATCAAGCCAAGTTTCGCTATAAAAGGTAGTACAATATCTGGTTCAAGTGTCATCAAATTTTAGAAACTAGAAACTTGAAATTAAGAAACTGTACTGAACAAGGCAAATGCATGAATAGAGAGGAAATCGTGCACTTTGGTATTTAAATTTGAAAAATATGGATATATTTTTGTCAATTAATTGAATAAATTGTATGAAAACTCGTGGCAGTAAGTATCCACTTTAGTCAAGCCTTACTTAGTTCCGTGTAAAATAAGCCATATTCCAGTTCAGGCTATTAAATTATATGTATCTTAAAGTACGTAAACTATTTCTTAATCTAAGAATTAACTACTTTGTAATGCACTATACAGCTTTGGGATAGTCTTGAATATCTTTGTATGAAATATTTATTATTAAAAGTGAAACATGATTAGTTCAAAGTGCAGGTGATCAAACACTATTATTCTGTCTTAAAATAGGACATGACTGCACAAGAGGACATGTGGTTTTAATTCTTGCATTATGCATATCATTTGGTTAGCCACATACAGTAATAGAGCATCATTTAAATTGACTATTTAAACAGTTTAACTGACATTACTGTTTTACTGACAAGATTATCTGGCATCAGATACAGTAAAATATCAAAATAGGAATATAATATGGGATCTTTGCCAGTTAGTATGTTAACAATAGACAAAAGCAAGCCAACCATTGGATACTACTGCCAAATATATTTCACTCTGATAGTGAAATCAAACAATTACGAATATGATAGATGGGTTGATGTACATTTTGCTAGAATTAATGCATGTAGTTGGAAGTTTTTTAGTAAATCAAGCTCAGTCCTTTGAAGAACAGATAATATGTACAATGTTACAAATTATCATTTTTTCCAGTCGTGCATTGTTCTAAACTGTACACCCACCAGCTTAATTCTGTAATCATGAATTGTTTTACAATCCTGTAACTGTGGAATAAAGTCAGTTTATCTTGAAACCTAGGGTATATTAAGTTTGGAAACCAACACCACAGCCATCTAAGTATTTACTTTTCTTATTGTTTTTTCAGGTTCAAGCTAAACAAATTTCCTGCAAAAGGTTATTCAATAAATGTTAAATACATGAGCAACATTATATTCATGTGCCCTCATATTTCTATCTGGGGAGATGTGAGCAATATGATGCCAGACAGAAGAATGATGCATGAGAATGTGTTGCTAGTGGATAAGGATAGTTATGACACTTGCACTATAAAGAAAGGAGCGAAGGTCAAAAAACTTTTAATTTGTGATGAAGACCCAATGAGCAAAGAAGTAAAATATTCCTTGGAGACAATTGCGAAAAATCAGGCTGATCCAGAAAAACAATGTTATGAAGAGGGACAGAATTACTACTTCATATGTAAGTATAAAGATTAGCTAAAATGACTTTCTTTGTGGCCAGTTCTCTGGATTTGCATTAGCTAAACAATCACACATTTCTTGTTTCTATTTAGCCACTGCAAGTGGGTCAATGGAAAGTTTAAACAATACAGAAGGTGGCCATTGTAAAACTCACCATATGAAACTACATATACATGTTTGCAATAACACTGGTAAGATTACGTGAGTTGTGGATGTGTATACGTATTTTTTGTCATTTTGCAGATAATATTAAACTGAACTATTGTATGTTTTTATTCTGTAGAACCATGCGAGTTTGTGATGCCTGAGTGCCCAAGGAATAAACCAGAAGGACAAGGGAACAATATAACCTCCACCAAATCACCCAAGTGTAACAATGATAGTATGTGTTTTTAATATTCAAAAGTGTCAAAAACAGCAATGATAATGCAAATTAATTGGAAGGAAAGAGTACACTGTAATTTCACATTGGTGTTACTGTTAGATAACTGTTGTCATATAATATATTACATTTAGCTGTGTCATCACTTCGCCAGACTGGTGTGAAAGGATGGTTCTCAGATAACCGTCATAATGTTATCTATGCTGTGTTGGGATTGTTTATATTATTCCTTATTGTTATCATAATCTGGCTTGTTTATTCTAAAAGGTAATGAATCCTTATATAAATAGATATTGTTAGATTATTTAAGCATTTTTGGTCATCTAGCCATGGTTGATGCATGGGGCAAACTGCAAAGGGGAGGGAGTTAGTATAGAAAGATGTGACTTTTTTGTTGTTTTGGTTTCCTTAATTTTTTCTTTGTTATGTGAAATGTAGGAGTTCTAAAGATATGCAAAAGAATTCAGTTACTGATGAAAGGGAAAGAATTTGCATCTAAAAATTTAATTTCTACAATGTTTTGTATACAAGTGTGCAAGCCAGGGGCATAAAGCAGACTCAAATAATTGAGGGTCCTGGGTCCAACAGTCAGCACTTACAGAATTGGTCTGAGTGAAATGTGGGGATCCAGATTTTCCCTCTCCCCCTCTTGGCTATGCTGCTGGAATGAGCTGCATTAGCTAGGTCACATGGATAAGGTTGTGGTTAGAACTAAGGTTATAGTTTTGGTAACGATCTAAACTTTAAGATGCTATGTAACGAGGATGTAAATATAGAAATCCTCTAAAAGTGGCAGATCCATAAAGTGTGTCTGGATTGTGTCTTGGCCTGCATTACAGATGGTAGAGAGAATACTGGATGCAAAGTAGCTAGCTTCTGTACCAAACATGAATACCACCTGTAATGCAGGCTAACACATAACCTTGTGTGGTCAGATGAATGTCTATGAGTATTTTAAGCTTTTATTTACTGTAATTAAATAATTTGAGCTATATTACTGTAATATACTATGATATAGTTTTGGTAAATTTCACATGGTTGAAGTCTTGAAGATCAGATACTTTTTGAAAGAAAGTTACACAGATCATTGTAAAACAATCCATGTTTTAAAAATATTTTAATAAAGTTGTTATATATAGTTATAAAATATTGAGATTTTGATGATCAAGTATCTGGCTAAGGTCGTCTCATCAAGCGTGTCGCGCTCCAGGGACCGGTATATTGCCAGAGGTCAAATGTGAATCATTTATCAGGGGGGCGTGTACTGGAAATACATGTTGCCTCTACATACCATATATGGTCATATCCTGCTGTTAGATCGAGCATTGAAATGTAAAACGCAGCAGCCTTTTGATCAGAAGAGTTTGTTTCATATATTGCTAGAATACTTGGTTTCAGACGAACGGTTTCTCTCTGAGTTTCAACCGCTGTGTAAAGAAGAATTTCGCCAGAACAACAGCTTCCTGTTGCCGTGAATGACAACCATCTGAAATCGTGTCATATTCCGTGAACATTGAGGATATCGAATTTACTTTCGTGTAGCAATTTAACCCAGACGATTTTATGTAAAAGTAAACAGCGCTTGGTTACTGTCGAAGTATGGCTGCAATATTCTGTGTTTTGGAACAAATCTAAAATGTGAAATTGCTTGTTTAAAGCGCCTGTGTGCTCTAGCAGGGAAGCTTTATATTTCGCCAACTGTTCAACGACAAAGAGCTTTCAAAGACGAAGAACTATCATTTTCTGTACAATCGTCGACTTCAATACAAACATTGGAAAGTGTTCGACAATTGCTACAGCATTCGGAATGTTCAGTATTATTAATTAATTTGCTACAATGGGTGAGTCATTCTTTATTTCGTCTTCCATGTGGGTGAACTCTTTTTGTATGTTTAAAATCCGGTCCCCGCATAGTGTGCATGTTCTTTCGACCAGCGCAATGAGCGCATACCAAAGTTTGTGAAAACAATAGCAGAGGGATTACTCACTCACTCCGTTTAGCTTCTCTTTATTGTTTGTGAAACTAGAAAGCTATTTTAAGTTGACTTAAAATAAACAGACCCGCTTACGAACTCCACACGACAAGATACAGGAATTATAAAATGTCATCCATAGTCGTCTACAAAAGCAAGAACTGATTTTATCTATATTGTGCAGGATCGTTTCTTATTCGTATGCATATTCGATTACACGTTTATTTTGCTGGTACTTTCTAAGCATATGGGTGCTTGTTTGGAAAAACCCTTTCGAGTTACAAAGTACTTGCCAATGTTTTGTATTATCGATGTATGTAATACACATTTTGCGCTATTGTTTCGAAAATTATGACAGCTTGTTGACACGGTTCTATCACAACAATTTAGAATAGATTTTTCTGTGTTGTTCATTTCAATACGTTTTACTGCGTCACCGACTTACAAAAGCTATTGTAGGGAATGGTTTTACAAAATTCTTTATAACCGTTTACTTATAACTGTTCAAAAAATATGCATTGATCCGTTTTGATGAAATTGAAACATCCAGTCAATTTGTGTACCTTATCTGGTACATTTAATTAGAAAGTATATGTTTAAACATGTTACAATTAACAGGATGATTGGATGCTCTGTGTGTTGTAAGACACAAGTACCAGTGGCAATGATATTTCAAAATGCACCCTTTATCTTAACCAATTTATAATTAGTCTGTAATTGCCACCAAAACAATTATATAGTGAGTTATTGAATGCCTGAGGCCAAGATTTGTTTGACTGCTGTAATAGGTATTTCTCCAACTTTACAGTTTTGGGGCTTTCTAACAGAGGTTGCCGAATGTAGGCTAAGTTGTACAAGTGATAGCTGGTTTTATAATCTTGATGAAGAACTTCAGTTTTGCACTGTAAAATTTTTCCAAAAACTTTATCAGGTCCTGACAGTTGTTTTTAAAAATTTCTGCCATCAGTCAAGCATTAATGAAACTAATACTGAAATTTATTAATAAGACCAGAAATGTTCTTCATCTACCTCTACACATCAACTAAAATTTGTGTTGTTTTTTATTTTAGATAATTGTTTTATTGATGAAGGTTACTCAGGAGTTTTTACTCAGCATATGGTCTTGTCACCCATTAATGTGGGTGCCCATGAGAAAATACATCCATCTCAGGTTTGTAAAAAGGAGCTGTTTTGTAATGAGATTGTCTTGTGTATTTTGAGCTATTGATGAGCCCATTTGTCTTTAAAATTTATGCTAAGAAGCAGCCATGCAGCTACATATTTGGCCTTGGTTGTACCATTTAAATATTGTGTAAATTTTAGCAGGTGGAACTGAATTCTTTAATACATATAATGCAAACTTTGTTAATAATTTAAATATCCATAATAACATCAGGAGAATAGACTGCAGGTGGCAGTCTTGATACGTTCTTCCCTACAAACTTTATGAGGCTTTTTTAGAGAGAAGTTTAACAAATTTACCAAAGACACATGAATCCATTATATTACATATATTTTTGTCTGAATCACTGAAAGTTGATTGATGCAGTATTGGTGATTCTTATCAACCTATATTTTTTTAGAATGATATTAGGGTAAAATTTGAGTACAAGGGTGAGAAAAGGTATGGTAATTGTCCATTGCTGAGTTTGAATATTTGCATTAACCTTCAAAAAATTGCATTGTTTGAGTTGTCCAATATTTTTCAGAATTATCCCTGTGTCTCGTCCGGTTCTCTTGGACGATATCAAGAGGAGGATAAGAAATGCCTACGGACATGACCTGACCATGAGTTATATCAACAATGACATCACAATACCTATAAAGAAACAAATGGATTTGGACAATGCTGTTGCCTTGCTGGACTTCAGTCCACAGCTAACCAGTCTGCGGATATATCTTTCTAATGAGGCGGGAGGGAATTTGAGCCTGGTGAAGAACAACAAATCGTTCAAATACAGTCATAGTAATAACAATGGTTTTTGGGGAGAGAGGAATTCCAGAGTAAGTTGGGAATTAAATTTTTGAGAGCAGCCACAGTTAATCTATTTTACAACACTAAGTAAATTTGGCATAAAACATATGCTCGTATTGTTTGCTCATCTTATAGAGTTTGTTCTAAAGTATATGGTTTTGCAGTAACATTAATTTTACTTATTGCTTGTAATCTGATGTGTGTTTTCCTTTTTCAATATAGCGAAGATTGCCAAGGTAAGATTTAAACTATATATTTTGATCCACAACTCCACAAGTGAATTACTTCTGTCCAAATACTGTGGAATATATACTATGCTATTGTATTTCTATTTATGTAGGTCCAACTCTGACACCCTACCTCCCTCCTCGTATGTAGCTCACGATCCCCTTAATACCCCCATTCTGATATCATCAAATTTTGGTCATCACAGACATTCCTCAAGCATCTCATTAGGCTCCAAGGTCAGGCATTCGCCACCCCCTGGTTTTGTGCCTGATCCAGATTTCAGAGAGAACCACCCTTTTGTTTTCACCAAGGTTAGTATAGTGAATGGTAGGCATTGTAAATGGAAACATGGATTTAATGTTGAAAATACTAAACAATATTGTTGAAAATGAACGAAAAACCATGAACAATATGAGCAGAACAATAACTGTAAGGCCCTCTCTTCGCTATACGGACGATTTTTGACAGCGTTTTTCATCTTTAGGTGTATGCTATTATGTACATTTAATGGTTAAATGGGTTAAATTTGGGTCCAATATTGAAAATAAATACACTGGGTAAAAGATAGGTGTATCATGTTCTGCTCAAAAGATGAATTGAAAGACATTTCTGAATCAATTCAGTCGCATTCTTGAGTAGCAAGTTTGATTATTATTTATTGAAAATGAGTCAAGAGTTTTGATTGGCCAGCAGCTGTTGGCGAAATCGTCATATCCGCTCGGCAGCTGCCCAAATTTGGACAGTGACGTCACTTCGTCGGATATGAAAAAAATTATTGCACGTTTGACGTCACTTCGTCAGATATGAAAAAAATTATTGCACGGTATGACGTCACGCTAATTTATGCGGCTTGTGCCAAAACCTAAAAGCGGGAAAATACGAATGCCTAAATCAAAGGAAAGGTAAATTTTTGCAAATAAATAATAAAACAATTATTGAATTCGGTTCTCGCAGGATATGAGGAATTATCAAGGCCTCGGTTTGTGTTATCCGCCTCAGCCTTCGGCTTCGGCAGATAACACAAACCTCGGCCTTAATAATTCCTCATATCCTGCTCAACCTCATTCAATAATTGTTTAATATTCAATGTTTATATTCAATGTTTTTAGAGTGAAGGTGAATTCGTTCCTGAAAGAGACGGCGTTGGTGTACAGGTACAGTAAAGATTTAATCGTCAGGACGTTGTTGTTTACCCTGATCAGTAGGGCACCGGAACTCCATTATTAATGGCAATTAATTAACCTTTTATATATATGCTGAATTAACCGTCGTCTATTTCTATATTCCTGTCACGCGCCGGCTAAAACTAGGTTAAGATATTTCTCTTACTCAACAAAGCCAGCTTACATTCATACGGAAACAAAACATAACCCGAACAGTGGAAATAGCGAACCGTTTTCCATCAAAATTCAAAATAATGCTTTTATAGTTCCAAATAATAAACGTGGCGATTTTTTTTGTAGGATGGTCGAATATTTGATCCACTAACGGAAGGATTGAATCAGGTATAATTGGCAACACTCGTGTTTATCTTGTTGCTGATATAACTACAGTAGAATAATGTCATCCAGTCACTAGTCAAACACTAGATAGACAGATCTTTTTATTATGTGTCGTTTCATCTTTCCAGGGTCACATTTTATCCAGTCCAAGTTTAGGAGGCTCGTTAAACGAGTCCAATTCTTCCTTGCAATCATTTGGAAGGTGAGGAATGAGGATTACAATCGTAATTCTTTATATTTAGTCAGATTCATGCAACAGTTTGGTAAACAGCAAATTCCGAATGGAACATCTTGAAAATGGAATGATTAAAAATAGATTTCAACTGTTTTGAGTAATATATTTCATTCTTAAGATGTCTTGCCTATTCAGAATTTTATTTTATTGGTGAAATTATTAGTGATATCCTGCGTTAATGCATCACTGCATGTACTATCGTGTTGAACATCTTTCCATATTTCCGGTACAACAAATGTTCACGTTACTAATCTCCTTCTAGTTATGGAGACGTCTGCAAACCATTCAAAAGATCGCGACAGGGATACGATCAACCGTTTGCGAGCTTCTCCGATGAGATAGATTTCCTCACAGGTATATTTACTTTAACAATTTTACCACAACAAATGATCAGGAGTCTCTTTGGCAACGTAATGTATTCCATTGCAAAGCATTGGACTAGCAAACCAAAGGTCGCGGGTTCGATTCCCACTGTGGTGAAGCTGATTTTTCAGCTTGCCCGGTTGGTGACTCAGAGTAGCATCATCACAATGTTCATTTGATATATACACCTGAGTCTTTGCACTATCAGTATTCCAATTTGTTTTGATTTTTTGTTTTCTATTGGCCCATTTTTATCACGTGTTTTGCCCCCATATAAAACATGAATTCTCCCGTCGAGAAGTGTTATACAGTTTAGGCAGTTGTTATACCATATTTAATGTCCAGTAATTAGAAGTCGTAATTGAAATTTTTTTGTCATTTCTGATACAGATTCGTTGGGTTCAAACGATAGCAAGGCTGGAACTTTTCCAAGAAGACATCACACGATTGCTTGGTCCAAATCAGGTTTTGCGGACGGTATGTTACTGACGTTTATTAATCGTTCAATTTCCAGTGCCTTCATACCTGTAAGTACCCATTGGTTGTCAAAAATGATGTCATTCATTCCCCATAAACGGAAGGACAAACGTCACTTCCGGACTGCAAAAGGCATATATATAACGTCCCCGTGACTAGCCGGGACTCAAACACTAATCGTCAACTACTCTTGCTGATCTACTGTCTTTTGTTTAGGTTATCAAACATTCCCTCGTATTCGAAAGCCTCTTCCATTTTCCTCTGGCGCTATGGCGTCTGGTATCACCAGTGCAAGTAGCAGCAGCAGTGGTCTCGTACCAGATATTGAAGATAGACCTGGCGCTCAATGTAAGTACCTTAAATTTGGATGAGATCGACCGCTTTGAGAACCGTAAATGTGCATTATGTATATATATTTATTTATATATCAATAATGTGTGTGTATGATATAAAAGCATTGGGGTGATTCTTAGCGTTTTTAGTGCAAAGTTTGAGAAACTTTGCAGTATTGTGATGAGTGGCGAAAATTCAGACGAGTCAGTAAGTCAAACAGTCAGTTTTCCCTCAGTGCGTCCGTCAGTCGTCAGTCAGTCATACGGGGGGTAGGTTGATTTATGCGTATAGTAACTTTTTGTATATGATCTGTAATTTAAGGTTTTTAAATCAGTTTGACTTGCTTTATTTATTAATGCAGTATATCCCTTTTGCAAAGTTCACCAAAATATTGAGGAATTTTGGCGGTTACTGTAAATTTTGAAGCATTGCTTTTCCGCGGTTTGGGTTTTGTTTTAAATGGATTTGCGCTGTATTACCCCCCGGAACATCCGATTCTTTCTTAGACGTCGCAACTGCGCATGTGCAGTCGAGACTTGAACATGATTCACGATGTAAAGAAACGAGGAGCGACGAGCATTGCTTCAAAACATTCCGGGCGTAAAAATCGAACAATTCTTTGAGAATGTACGCACTTTATCAACTTTTGTTATGAATTACGAGCATTCAATTCAACACAAATATAATTTGGAAGGTTTATTCCATAAATAGAGCTGGGAGGTTAGGAAGAAACGACGTTGTGTTGTTTATGTATTGATAGACTCTTACACGAATGTATATTATGTCGATAGCAAGTCGATACCTGATATTCTGCATACAGTACATAAATGATGCTATACAAAATTGTGCAGTAATTGGACATTCGTGCAGTAATCAAATCATTTTGGCGGTATACAGTATTGATTATAAGTATATTGTTTTGTATCGATTTACGCGTCGAAGTATCCACATCATAGACATAATATGCACCGCGGTTTATTTACATTGTTTACAACGCAACTATTTTGGCTATTCTTATGAAGTGACGGATAAATTGTTGCCATCATATAAATGTAGTGAATGTAGTCACAGTTGTTTGACGAAGAAAAGAGACTACACTGAGAAAATCGCGCCCGGTTAGGCCGGTTTACATGGGCAACTAAAATTAGCTATAATTTAATAGTGACAGTATCCGCGGCTAACGTAATTTGAGTACTTTGAGTAATTTCCTTTTGATTAATGTTTAACCTAGTTCATTGCTGCCGCAGCGAGCGAGCCTGAAGCGAGCGAGCAAGGCAGCAGATCCTAATTTAGAAATGGGGGCGCAAATCAAAATTTGTCTTTGGCGCATTGCATGACGGTACCAGTGGCAGGGATGGAGGAACATATTTCATTTTGGGGGTGGCTGAATTTAAGTTCCGGCCATAGTTGACACGCTGCGAGCATATGTTATGTAGCGTGAGAGAGAAATAATTTACATTCACCTGAACACAATGTAGGATATTTCTTTTGTATTTTAGCAGGCGAACAGCAATTTGACGATCTTATTGTTACACGTTTGTGAGATTCTTTCATGTATTTTGGGGAGGGCTACGATTTTTACCTTGCGCGGTGCGGTGCGTGATACAGCAATTTGACGACCTTATTGTTACACGTTTGTGAAATTCTTTCATGTATTTTGGGGAGGGCTACGATTTTCACCTTGCGCGGTGCGGTGCGTGATACCACGTGTATGGTATGTTAATTTATATTGTGAATAAAGGTGAAACGTGCTTTGGAACATTGTATTAGCGTATTAGGGCGCCAGTAGATTTTCAATATAAACGAAACATAATACTCTTGTCACCTGCGGTGAAAATTTTTGACGCATTGCATGTTGGAGTTCGGTGTCAGGTTATACCATTCCACGTGTTGGCTGCATAAACTTTGGCGAATTTTTTTCGAAGAAGGAAAACTATTTCGGTGAGTTTTTTGTAATTAAGTTCATATTTATTCAATGTTTTATTCATATCTAACTGTTCTTTTATATTTCATAGGTTGATATTTTAGACAGAAGATGAAATTTACGTAATTCTACGTTTTGGCTACATATTATAGTACTGCGAAGTATTAGAGGTATAAGGTATTTTGGTGAGTTTTTTTACTGTCGAGTTCCTATTTATTCGATATTTTATTCATATTGTTAAACGATATACTTCACTATAGGCTTTTAGCCTTTTATGCCGAATTATGACTTAAATACTGGGGTAGTGCATTTATTTGAGCGATCATTGAATGTATCATTAAAAATTGCGTCTGTTTTGTTTGTTTAGCGCGCGGCGTTTATTAACTGTTCATTTTTATTTTCCAGGTTGATATTTTGGTCCGAAGGCGAGGCTTCAACTCTTGTTATATAATCGAGTCTTTGTTCTCAGTTGCACCAGTAATTGAATGCATTGATTTTTGCATTTTTGTCAGTCATCTGTCATCAGTTGCTGACTCTTCTGTTTTGGTGCTGTATTTGCGCCTCATTTTTGTGTCTTGTTAAGACACTCACTAGATCATCAAAAGTTTATTTCATGTGTGTTTTTGTATCTCATTGGATTCGTCGTATCCGTCACAGCAAAAGATGATTGACACGGAAGAATTGCGCTTAACAGAAACGACATTTTCATAACGTTTTAATAACTATATCGAGCGATTTAAAACATAATTGACAAATTTAAGTTCTGTTGGGGGCTCCGTTGCATAAAAAACAAATTATTGATAGGTTTCGTAGAACATTTCTGTTCTGGAACAATATTGTTTCTGTCATTTTCCTTAAATAATGATAATAAGCTGAGGCTAAGCACTTTGTACTATATTTTATATTTTCAATCTCTTCTTGAACATAAAAAAATTTACGGTGGTTGTGATTTCTGTTCTTCTAAAAGTTTAATGTTTTCATTGCATGACGACTACGGCTTACTCACAGGCAGCACTCCCTACCCTATGGGTACCCTAGTTATATTTTTACTAGCATCAGTCAAAATGTTTATGTTGGGACAAACGTCTGGTTGCTTAGGTATTAACAGGGCATGAAAACTTTGCACTATCCTTGGATCCCTAGTTTTATATCAGCATAGTTTTAAGCATCATCCAAATGTAGTCCCGTTATCGTCAGTGCATTGTATGAATGCGAGGTATGAATGCGAAGAAAACCAGAGAGAAATTGGGGTTTAAATGGTGCCTGGGATTTTTATCATTAAACAACTATATTGAAAAATTATTTGTATATTTTCCTGTAGTATACATAAATAAGGTGATTATGTAGATAATATACGAAACCATTCTTCTGTACTTAGATCAAAATGTGCCAAAACATTGGAAGTTGGGTAAACTCCTTGGAACGGGTGCGTTTGGTCAGGTTTTTCTGTGTCATGATACGGAGAATGGGCGAGAGTTGGCTGTGAAACAGATCGAGACAGGAATAACAACCTCAGCGCAACAAAAGGTTGATTGCTTTATTTTGCTTTTTATTTTATCATTGTTTAACCTGTCATTTTACAACCTCATGCAAAGTGAATGCATGCACCCCCCTGCAGTGGAGATTTTTGTGGAGGCGGAATTGTGGGGAGGCGGAGCCACTACTGACTAGGTTACTATCCACTTGAACTGACTACAAAAATCGACCAACCAGAAGCCATATTCTCAACAAGTTTGAATTATCATTTCTGTCATTTTGTTCATTTAGGAAATAAATTCTCTTGAAGTGGATATCGAGCTGCTGAAGAGCATTCATCACGAGGCCATAGTCTCTTACTTCGGAACTCAGCAGAGCGATACGAGAATATGGATATTTATGGAGTACATGCCGGGGGTAAGAGGGGACTGTAGGTGATAATGAAGTTGATAGTATGCAACCCCAGTTATCAACAAAGACTCACGACGGTACCTTGTGATTTTAGGGTTCAATCTATGATCATATTAAGACACACGGCCCGCTATCAGAGAGCCTTACCTGTCGGTATGCAAGACAAATCTTGGAAGGTGTTTCATATCTTCATTCATACACGATCATACATCGTGATATTAAAGGTAAATACCATAAGACTTCCTAATTCGTGTGCCTGACCAAAGTATAGATTTCGTTTGAATATAATTTCCAAAGTGTTTTGTTTTGACGTTGGACTACATATGTATATGCAAACTCTGTTTCAGGAGCGAATATTTTGAGAGATACGAATGGAAATGTAAAACTAGCTGACTTTGGGGCCTCGAAACGACTACAGGTAAGGAATGAAAACCACGATATTTTACTGTAGAATACTACCTACACTGCCAGGACTGAACCATGTTTGAGATATCTTTATCAGGTATAGTTCAGACACAAACACGAAGTCTATAACAATGTTTCAACGATTTTTCTACCTTGTAGACGATAAGCAGTATGACCGGCTTCAAATCTGTTCATGGAACACCTTACTGGATGGCGCCAGAAGTGATCAATGGAGCAGGTTATGGCAGAAAGGCGGATGTATGGTAAGTAATATAGATGGGTCACACAGTGAATAATCAGTTAAGGACAAATTGGTTAGAATTTTCCTCAATGGAGCAACACAAATATTGCAATCTTGTATATAGAAGAGTCACAATTATTTTTTCAGTTAGATAACTACTGGTCATTTCTTTTTCCTTATGAAACAAACAAGAACTAAACATCAAAATACTATATCTCTAGGAGTATAGGGTGCACTGTGGTGGAAATGTTGACTGGAAAACCACCATGGGCTGAGTTCGAACCAATGGCAGCACTTTTCAAGATCGCCACTCAGGAAACAGAACCAGACTTAATGGAAGAAACGTCGAGCGGTGCTCGAGACTTTATTAGAAGGACCCTTATAAAGTAAGTTTTTCAGATTCCAGGTGATCTAGCGCTCAGGGGCGGGTTGTCGAAATAGAAATGCATTCTGCAGTATCTAATCGATTATATCTTTTGTTATTATTCTTTATAAAACTAGTCGAAATTTTGTGATTATGTTTAGGTACATAAGAATTTTATTTTTGGCATGAGGTTGAAACTGTAATATTTCAAAAGTAATTTTGTATGAAAACTATGTAGTCCCAGTCTTTTCCTGTCAACCATTTCGTAGATGCGTGCCATGGCTATGTTGTGTTTCAAAATCGCCGTAGTTAGCGCCGTATAAATACGTACTTGTACATCATACTTAAACGATTATTCCATGAAAGATTATTTCATTTCTAGGGATCCTAATTCAAGACCCAGAGCTGTAGATCTGCTCTCACACACATTTATCCAAGATTATCCACCCACGTGATATTTCCTGGAAATTTAGCAAAGCTAAATAATTTGGCACGATAAGTATATATATGCATTGTGTCTATAAACTCTGATGCTACAGTCTGATCATTATTGTCTGCCTTTAGCTATTATTGAACAAGTTCTCTTGATTGGATTCTGTTAAGATTCCTAGATTACGATAAAAATTCCTAGAACTGTTTGGAATTAAGTTTGGTCAAGAGCTTTAACAAAGCTAAGGTCAGGATTTCAATTTAATATCCTGGGCAAACGATCACTGTAGCACCATCTTGTTTGTTACACGACAAAAAAATATGTACATATGAATATTTTGATATTTTTGTAAATAGAAATTCCCTGATAGGTCTTGTACATAACGCATAATGATTCAGTTAAGATAATCGTAAATTATTTTGATTCATTCAACGAATTTATCCAAGCAAATGTGCTTTGTCTGGTTAGGTAGGTAACTCAAAGTTTTTCCATAACCAGGAAAATAAGTACTCTTAAAAACAAGACCGAGACATAAAACCAAGTTTTTAAGTGTGTTTTTCAGAATTCAGAAGAACGTAAATTATTAGTTTTCTACTATGAAATATTCCTATGCTAATTGTAGCATAAACTGCTTGGGTAAAATCTTTCGTTAAACGAACTTACAATAATACTAAAGCTTCACGTACATCATAAGACGTTTGCTTTCACTAAAAACAATGTAAATGCCGCATTACGACACAAAGTTTCCTCTTTTCATTTGTTTTTCTTGGGAAATGTGCGTCGTAATGACGAGAATCATTGCTTTGTGAATTCATGATTGAAAGAGAAAATAGAAAATGATTGTAGAAGAAATAGTTTTGTACCGAATTAAAATAATAAAATCTCTCGAGATTTGGTGTTTTCTCTAACGTAGATTAACA